TGTTTATTTTCCGAAGTCCCATTGTTTGGATCTTCAATCCATATTGCTACAACTTGTGAAGTGGTTGGAGCATTATAAACTCTTTGGTCTAAACCGGGATCACTATTAATCTTGATACTAAAATCAGCATCATAGCACACGTCTTTGAGACTTTTAAAAAACTGTGCATACGGATTCTCTGAAAGCACTTGAACAAGGGTAGAAACAATTTCTTTATCCAACTTATCACATGTTTCAAGTCTATCCTCAATTTGTTGAGCATTGTCAAAAAAAATATAATTGCAGATTTCGAGGAGGAGATCCATCAGGAAGTAAATCATTAAGAAAATGATATATCTGGCCTTGTACTTTAAAAGTATAGATTCCCTTATTTCTTTTGCATAGATCTTTATCATAATTGTATATACCAATGGAAGTAAAAGCAAAGGTGTTATTGTAAGTACGAACAGCAGATTGGAAGTGTTTCGCCTTAAGATCATTGCCGATGAATAAATCTTTCAAAAGACTTGGCATTTCATTTGAAGCTATCAAGGATAATACTTAAATTATATTTAATATTATCTTCTCCTGTACATTTGAATAGTTGTTAGGAGTCCTTATCTTAACCTCTTCTTATTATTATTAATTGTTTGTAATTATCTATAGAGTAGATCTCTCACCTGCCGTAACCTCCTGTATCTATTTATTCTTCATCTCTGATTAATGAGAATTATTGCTTCCCTAAGCTTCTATATGGTATCTGTACTTTCAAGGATGGACGTAATGTATTGAGCCTGCGATAAAAATAGTGCAGTAGAAGTAGGAATAACCTCCACGCCCAAAAAATGGCTAAGACAGCCCAGATCCTTCAAGGAGAATTGGTTAGAAAAACGAGCCACAAAGGCCGATAAAAACCGATCGGAGTTGCCTGTGAGTATTATATCATCAACATAAACAAGAAAATATGCAAGAACACCAGCCTTAGCATAGACGAACAGAGATGGATCGGCACGAGACTTCTGAAACCCAGATACCTGCAAAAAATGAGCCAAGGACTCATACCACGCCCGAGGAGCCTGTTTAAGACCATAGAGAGCCTTAGTCAAGCGACAGATATGACCAGGAAACTCCGAGTGAACATAACCCGGGGGTTGATCCATAAACACCTCTTTAGATAACCTGCCATTCAAAAAGGCATTATTGATATCAAGCTGGCGCAGAGACCAGCGGTTAGCTAGAGCGAGGGTGAGAACCACCCAAATAGTGACCGACTTCATGACAGGACTAAAAGTATCAAAATAGTCACGACCGGCCTCTTGAAGAAAACCCTTGGCTACAAACCGAGCCTTGAACCGATCAACAGAACCATCGGCCTTGCGTTTAACACGAAAGACCCATTTGCACCCAATGGGACGGTGTGTACCGCGAGGAACTAGCTGCCATGTGCCTTTCTGAAGAAGAGCCTGAAACTCTTCATCCATAGCTTTCCTCCAACGAGGATCCTTGAGAGCCTGGGTAATAGTTTTAGGTTCTAGTGTCGGGGGAAGGGGATGATTGGTAGTAACATGGACTTGCTTGGGGTTGGTGACATACTCATTATTAAATATGCGAGTATTAGGACGACGAACACGCGTAGGTCTAGGGGGAAGGGGAGTTACTGTGGGCTGGAAAACAGTGGGCTGGGACACACTAGGAGAGAGACCGGCACTGTGAGGGGGAGATGACAGTGGAGAATGGGCAGGCTGAACCGGAGTGAGACCGGTAGTGCCACTGGACGTAGAGAGAGGTAGACTAGGAGGAGACAAAAGAGGTGGGACACGGGGAAGAGGCCTAGGAGGAGCAGAAAGGGAAGGCGACACAGGAAGAGTGGGAAATGAAAACTGGGTAGGCACAAACTGAACATGCCGGGAGATGTAGAGACGATGAGTGGATATGTCCAAACATTTGTAGGCGGATTGGGACGTGGAATACCCAACAAAAACACAAGGAACGGACTTGGGCTGGAGTTTTTTTGAGGAGTAAGGACGTAACCAAGGAAAACAAAGACACCCAAACGGTTGGAGTTTGAGATAGTTAGGTTGCGCATGAAATAAAGCAGCATAAGGACATACAAAACGCAACAAGGGAGTAGGCATTCGATTTATAAGATAGACTGCAGTTTGAAATGCATAGGGCCAGTAACTAAGAGGCATAGAGGCTTGATGAAGCAGAGATAGACCAGTCTCGACCACATGACAATGACGACGTTCAGCAGAACCATTATGTTCAGGAGTATGGGGAGGAGAGGTGAAGTGAGAAATGCCATGGCGGGCGAGAAAGGGACGCAGTTTAAGGAACTCACCACCATTATCAGAAAAAATGGAGATAATTTTCCTGTTAAAGAAATTTTCAACCATGGTCTTGTAGTGAACAAAAATAGAATAAACCTCACTTTTTTGTTTCATGGGATAGAGCCAAACATATTTGGTGAAATGGTCAACAAATAGAACATAATATAAGTACCCATCAACAGAAATATCAGTACAAGACGCATCAGAATAAAGCAATTGTAACGGAAATTGACTAACAAGAGAATTCTCATGAAAAGGGAGTTTATGACTCTTATTAATGGAACATGAAGTACAATGAAAATCCTGAAGAGCCGTGAGCGGCATTCTCTTATTACATTGCTCCAAAATACGACAGAGAATTTTATTTGACGGGTGACCAAAGCTATGATGCAGACCAGAGACAGAGAGCTGATTGACACGAGGTGGGCAAGCAGGCATAGCATAGTAAGCACCATTGTGAGTTTTACCCTGAAGAAGAGGCGCCCCCGTTGTCAAATCCTTGACAGAAAAAGACGAGGGGAAAAATTCAACAGAAACGTGGTTAGTTTGGCATAGCTGTGACACAGAAACAAGATTGGTGGTTAATTGAGGAACACATAAAACATTGTTGAGAGACAGAGAACGGGATGCAGTAGGCAGAGAAGTATGGCCAATATGAGACATGCGTAAACCCGTACCATTACCCAGACGGATCTCATCAGGACCGCCGTAATCGGAAAAGGAGTGCAGAGGCTGAGGCGTGGGAGACGTGTGATGGCTAGCACCACTATCAAACATCCACTGAGTGGGAGCGGATGGAGACGGCCCAGAGGTCTGGTGAACAAATAGAGTGCTCTGACCTTGATATCATGACCAGGAATGGAGCAAAACTGACAACCCCCATCACGAGGCGAGGTGCGACCAGCACCATTAAAAGGATGCCGACCTCCACCATGATAGGCTGGAGCATCCCGTGGCCATGATTGACCATTCTTGGAGAGCGTGGCTCGCTGAGTAGAATTAGCAGTGGCCACAATCGTCTGAGTGGCAGCATCCGAAGCTTGAAGCTTTTCCTCTATGTCACGTAAGACATCACCAAGTTCGGTAAAGGAGATGGTTTGCTCACGAAAACGAGCACCAGAGGTGTGGGGGTCATAGGCTTTGCCAACTTGATTGAGGACATGAACCACAAGATCCTCTTCAGAGATAGGATTTTGGACGAGGGCCAATTCATTTGCCAGACTCCGCATTTCATAAAGATATTCGGTGATAGATCGATTCCCACGTGGATTTTTCCCAAGCTTGGACTTGAGACTAAGAACACGACCGCGGCTTGCACTCGCAAAACTGGAGTGCAAGTTGAGCCAAGCCTCACGGGCAGTACCCGTGTTAGAGATGAGGGGCTGAATTGTATCCGAGCAGCTGCCGAGAAGAGCTCCGATGATTGATTGATCTTGTCTATACCAAACAGAGTAGCATGGATTAAAGGTACCATCGGCTTGAGAGCACGACGGCGTAGCAACACTCCCATCAACGAAACCAAGAAGATCAAGTCCAATAAGAGTGGATTGAACTTGACGTTGCCAGATTGCAAAGTTGGTGTTGTTTAATTTGATGGGGAAATGAGTTTTGGAATGGAGTTGGACAACAGGCGTGTCTTTGGTGATAACCCTAGGAGGTGGGATTGAAGACGCCATTGATGGCAGTGATTGGCAGTGGTGACGCGGTGATGGATCGATGAATCGAAAGAGATTCACAGCTCTGATACCATATAGAAGCTTAGGGAAGCAATACTTCTCATTAATCAGAGATGAAGAATAAATAGATACAGGAGGTTACGGCAGGTGAGAGATCTACTCTATAGATAATTACAAACAATTAATAATAATAAGAAGAGGTTAAGATAAGGACTCCTAACAACTATTCAAATATACAGGAGAAGATAATATTAAATATAATTTAAGTATTATCCTTGATAGAAGCAAGGACGACCTCACCCTGGCAACAACAAAACCCCAAGGGACAGTAAACAAACGAAACGTTAGAAACAAACGGAAAAAAACACAATATAAATGCGATAGAGAATTATAAAATTAGGGATATATATATATATATATATATATATATATATATATATATATATATATATATATATATATTGGTTCTGGTGAGAATGCAATCTTAGGAGAGAAATGAGAATGAATTTGGTGCTTTAGATTGTGAGATCTAAGGGTCAAGATTTCATCAAAATTAGATGCACCAAAATGGTGCGAAAATGCATCACGTCAAAGTGCACCATAAACCTTCGAAAATGCACTATCTCAAAATCTGAGCGCAGGATGCAATCTGAGCCGCAGCCCGCAGGATGTATCAGATCCGACGGCTAGATTTTATTCTCATTTCTCTCCACAAGATGCATTATATATATATATATATATATATATATATATATATATATATATATATATATATATATATATATATATATATATATAAAAAGGATTTATGATATATATATGATTTCTATACCTAATACTCCGTAACATTTTTGACAAGAAATCCTGGGGGTATCACAGAACATATCATTATACTTAGGATCTATAAATCTCTATAGCTTCATTGCATTGCCAAACATATGATTGAAGTCACTACACTAATCTCAAATCCCGACCAAAACATATCAGTATTGTTTTTTTATCTCTTGTTATGCGCTTTGTGTTTTGGAATAAAAATAGTTTAACCGTAAAAGGCATAAAGGCATTTGTTTGCTCTGTTACGTTTTTAGCTATTCGATTTGTATCCAAATTTTGTTAATCCACTTTTTGAAAGGAGGTTATGTGAACAAGAATTCATTCTAATGGTCCATTTTCAAAGTATTTCCATTGGTCAATTGCTTTGATTGTCAATCAAATATTAACTTTATTTCATATTAAACCAAAATGATTCAATAGATTTATCTGTTGAAAAAGTTTAAAAATTTTGTAGAATGATTATTTATTTATTTTCAACATTGTATTAAATGAATTTCAATTACTATGGGTGGCCCGAAGAGTGTGCAAAGTGGCCAATCGTACAGGGCCTTTACAATTTTAAAGTCTCATATTTTTAAATTCATCATTAATTTTGAAGTATAAATATTTTAAAATAATAAAATACGAGTATAGTTCTAAATGTAAATTTCGGACCAGACCAATTTCATTTTTTCATTTTCCGAGGCCGGTCCTGTCAAGTACTCATATTTTACTTTAAAAAAACTTTCTTTGAGTACGTAGAATTGACAAATAAAGACAGGTTAAAATTAATTTTAGGACAAGGACTAAATTATTGTCCAACTATTTGGTAAAATCAAATCCTTAATGCCGCTTTAAAAAAACAAATCCTTAATACCGAGTAGAAAAGAAATGTTAGTCAAATACGCTATTCAAGAAAGTCACACAAATACAATTAAATCAACTCTTTTAGGTTAAGCTAAGAAATTGGTCTGCTCATGAGCACGAAAAATCAAAGATCACCATTTGTTTTTGTTTCCTCCCACAGATTTTTGACAAAAGAAATACGGAGTACAAAAAAACATACTATAAGGATTATTCCATCACTATTTCGGATGGATTTGAAACATTTAGCTTGATCTTCTATTTACCATTAGAAATATTTGCACGAAATAGCACTAAAATTTAAGTCATTTGCCTAAATAGTACTTAAATTGTTATATTTTCTAAACAACACTTAATAATGTTCATAATGTCCAGTGATGACGAATATTTACTTAAATAATGACTAATGCATAATGACTAAAAGTCCAATATTAGGAAGAAAAACACGTGTGATGCTATTTAGGAAAAGTCATTATGCTTTAGTGCTATTTAAGTAAGTTCCTCTTTATGTTATACTCTAATTTGTGAGAAGTAGAAACTAGACATGAGGGATTTACCAGGGGGTTAAGGGGGGTAGGAACTACTTGGGGTTTACAAAATGAGAATTTGTGAGAATTTATATATTATAAATAGTAAACTTCAAATAGTCAAAATTAACTTGTGGGGTGCAATTGAAGGGGGGAGGGGGTGTGTGTGTGTTCGGGTCGGGACGGGATGGAGGGTTTACCAGGGGGTTAGGGGGGTAAGAAACGTCAATTTTACGAACGGAGCACCGAAGCGCCTACGAATCATGACATGACATTAGTTCACAATGTTATGGGAACTTTGCCCTGTGTTTATGATCCTAACATTACTCTTTCCGTAATTATACCACTAGTGTTGATCAAAATTGCCCACCAATTTAGAAGTCAGACTATTTGGTGAATATTTTGTAGCACCTTAGGTAATACCAACTCTTCTAAAATTAATTGGTGTTAGAAGAGATGCATACACTAATTTTATAGTGCATTTAACACACACAAGCACTCATGACATTTGATTATGACTTGACCCACAAAGCCACCGCCACAAGACAATTAATGCACCGTGACCAACAAAGTTTTCTTTAATTACTACTTCATATCATGAAAATTACAAAATAAGGAAGACAAAAATATTTATTTTTATCAAATGATCAATAAAAAATACTCCGTACTTACAAATACAGAGTTTTTTCTCTGTCCAAAGAATGTCACAATTTATTATTTGTAAATTTTCTTTAATTTTTTGATAAATTAAAATATTATTATCATTGCTACTTTTAACATTTTTAACTTTTTGCAATTTATTTTAATGTACAACTCTATTTGTACAATTAAAATAGAGTCTTACTTGGAAAAATTAATTTGAGATTGGGAAAGTACAATTCCGGGGCATTATTGAAAGGTCTCGATCAAATCAGGTAAATCTTTACGAGGACAACGAAGTAGTTACAACTTACAAAAATTTACCCAAAAATTCATTGCCTTTTAGTTTTTACTACAGTAGTATTATGATGCCTGCTGTTGCCCGGACAATTCTTATTCCAGCCGCCAGATCTACCGGCGGCGGCTTCTTTCTTCGGCGAAGAGGAAAACAAAGGGAAGCCGAAAGCCCCCGCCGTCTTCGAAGATCCTCTTAGCGACGAACACACCGGGACGTTCAGAATCGGAGTTACCGGGACATTCGCTGAATATGACCGCATCATAGTCACTCCCCTGTGCCTGTTCCTCGGCGGCTCGCTTAAGAAGCTGCCGGGGCTGCTCGAGCTTCTCTCTAGCCCGCCGTGGAAGATTACCTTGCCGGAAGGGTTCATTCGGGGACTGTCCGGCGAGAATCCACCGATTGCTGACGCGTCGAAGGCTCTCCGCCCTGCACTCGCCGCCGCCGCTCCTGAGGGAATTTTGGACGGCGTCGATGTACCCCGACGCACGACGAATCGGACCTTGCGGCGGTTGTTGACTGTTTGAGCCCGGTTCCGAGAGTGGCCGGCGGGCTTTTGGGAGTCCAGGGAGAGGCGAGGTGCGAGGTCTTCGTTTTCTTCGCCCCCTGAGGAGGAAGAGGAGATGCGAGAGGGTATCGACGCGCTCTCGCTGTCGTAATCCTTCGTCAGCAACGGGAAACTGACCGATTTGTCCTCAATTGAAGTTTCCGCTGGAGATTTTGAACTGCGCCGGCGAAGGAAATTCTTCACAGATTCACGCCTGAGATTCGAACGATTGTGTGGGAGAGACGGCGTCGTTTTCGTTTTATCCTCCTCCGTATTGATTCTGGTCTGGTTGAGCTTCTTAAAGCCCAAAAGCTCCTTCCACCGACTCGATCGCCTCGGCGACCTCAGGAAACCGGCCGAATTTTCATTTATCGGTTTCAATTCCGGAGTACCCGGCGGCGACCTAACCTGCAGGCACGGCTGCTCAGGAATAGACGCGGCGGCGCATCCGATCGTCGGAACTCTAAGCGGTAACAGCTTCCCGTCAGAGAAGAGCTCATCGGCCGGGAGAATGGCGTCAGAATTCCGGCCAATCCTGAACTCGAACGCCCCTGTATCCTTTCCTAGTACATCCAGATCTGATTCCTCATAATTATCCTCGCCGGAATTATCTCTACCATCCGATGCCCGCCGACTCCCGACGCCACGCGGTATGTACTTTGACGGAGGACAATCTAGCAGATTTCCCGGCGATATGCTGGTGTGGTTGACACGCGCCGATGCCATCTCCCACGGTGCGGTAACGCCTATAGCTGCAAGAATCGAGATTGTGTGTGTATAGAAATGAGTATGTTACGATGATAGCTGCAAGCGAGTTGATTGAGCCGCCATGGAAATACAGTACGAGAAGTTACATGCCACACAGAAGATGATTGATAGTCTAACGGTATGCTGTGTAGAAGGTAACGGAGTAGCGAAATACAGGGAAGTGTAGATTGTATAAATAGCAGTATAAATACGGAGTCCGCAAAACGGCACATCACTATTTATGTATCGTTACTCCGTATCTTCTTTTTTTTTTTGCTATTAGTGTTGATGTATCAAAATATGTATCCCATTTGTATACTAAAGATATGCACTAATATTTTGATAGTTTACAATGACATAAAGTATTGTTGCGTTAACAAAAATTTACACAGACACAAAATGTTGATGCGTTGACAAAAATTAGCATTACACTAGCACAAAATGTTGGTGCATCCTTGCGGTGTACAAAAAAGGGTACAAATCCTTGGGATACAAATTGCTTTACCCAATGTAGAATCTAAGCCAGAAGGTTAACTTTATGCGATAGCGTTAGAGATTAACGTTAACGTTTTGAAAAAACAATCTTCGGATAACGTGTAGTGTTAGTGTTTTCAAACTAATCTGCACCGTTAAAATTTTATATAAAATGATGACGCTACTCCCAAATATGGCCTTAATCCGCATCACGCGGGTCGGGGTGTTACAACTTACAAATAATTATCTTCTATCTTTTCGATTTGGGTTGTCCCGAAAAATTTTTCCTCTTTTCATTCAAGGAAACAAATATGTGATCCCTATCAATTATCTTTCTTCTACACAAACACGATCACCAACATTCCACTTTACTAAAATTGTGCTAAGTCAATCTTGAGGGATTATTGCGGGACGGAAGGAGTAGCATTCTTTGAATAGAAAATTAAAAAAAAATTAGATCGGAATCAAAATTGTAACCGCTAGTTTCAGAGCTAGCACTGTCACCATCGACAACCGGGTGCAGGGGGCAGGTCCAGCGCCTGGTCATACACTCATACAGGTGCACACTCATACAGGTGCACCAGGCTCAAGAATTATACTCCCTCTGTCTCTAAATGTTTACCACATTTCTAACAATGAAGCAAAATATCAAATTTTTCAATTCATTTCATTTAAATATTGGTATAAAAATAAAAAATAAAAATTACATATTTAAAAACTACATGAAAAGTTCTTCAAAATAAAATGTGTTAAGAATATTTTATTTTATCAAATAACCAATGAAAAAGTATAAATAAATAAAACTTCTCCTGACTATTGAAAAAGCAAATACGACAAACATTTTAGGACGGATGAAATATAATTTATCATTATTTGGATCATTATTGTGGAGTGGTACTCAGGTACTACGAATATTGAATTTTGTAGAGATTTTAGCTAAATTTTACTCTATTAGTCCTGTGTTAATATTTCACTATGGACCACACATAGATATTAAGAAAAGTAAAATTATATGATTAAATTGGGCAAAAGTGAGAGATATATGTAAGCCACAAAAAATTTGCCTTATACTCCGTATAAAAAGTAGAATCTTAATTTGAGATGAATAAAAAAGACATTGTAGAACATTATTACAGGAGAAAGAGAGTACTCCATCCGCTCCATTAAAAACTTTGTAGAAAGTTGACCAAAAAATTCAAATTGTGAAGACAAATGGAATGGCAAAATTCTTTCTAATTTGAAGAGTTATTAATACCCCTTTAAATTTGTCTTTTCAAGTTAACATTTTATCTATTGTACTCTCTCTGCTCAAAGTATTTGCAACGTTTGCTTTTTGAACAGTCGCATGAACTTTTGTTTATTTCTACGTTTTCATTGGTTATTTGATAAAATAAAATATTCTTGACACCTCTTATTTCGAAAAACTTTTCATGTAATTTTTTGATATGTAAATTTTATTTTTTATTTCTTTACCAATATGTAAATAAAATGAATTGAAAAAATTTGATATTTTGCTTCGGTAATAGAAATGTGACAAATAATTTGTGACGGAAGGAAGGAGTATTTATTACTTCGAGAAATGCAAAAGCCATTTTTTCAGGTGAAGATATTATCTCATCATTTTACTTTTTGTTAATAGTCGTTCAATAATATTTTTCTTTGTTGTCATTGGTATCAATCTATATTCCGTTTCTTTATTCATTTTCATTTATCATTTTTTAAAATAAAATAATTTTGTCACCATTTCTTTTTTTCAAGTAATTTTTAAATATATAAGTTTTATTTATTAAATCTATACTAACTTTACATAAGTTTTTTTAGGAATATGTAAGTTAAATTGAAAATACTACCTCCGTCCCAGAGTATTTGTCCACTTTCATATTTACACACCATCCAATGCACTTCTTTAATCCATTTTATCTTGTAATTTGTATATTAAAAAATTATAGAAATTATATATTAATAATCTACTCCGTATATGTTAAGACAAATCAAACAAGATCACACATGACTATATTTAGGCTTACACATTGAGAGAATTTGATGAGTTAAAGTGCTTAGATGAACAGTTCTAAAAGTCAAAAGTGGACAAATACTTCGGGACGGAGGGAGTATTTGTTTTCATACTAGAGCATTATTATAGAACAGACGAACACTATCAATTGAAAGTCACAAGAGTGCTTCTATGATGCACATTTGCTGCATATTATTTTTGTAAACCTTCTCACATGATTTTTTAAATTTTTTTTATTAAAAAATAGTTACTTATTTAAGTAGTAAAGAATAATGCTTCTTTGGTTGCAACTTCGATGCATTTCATATTTGTAGATCTTCTCATATAAAAAGTCCTTTTTACTTTTTTTTTATAGAAAAAACAAATGCTTACTTAAGTAATAAAGTAATATTTTTTTTTGTTCATATATAAGTTCATGGTGGACCTTAAATCTACCAAAAAATTTGCCCAAAGTCAAACGCCCTATGAACACGATTAAAGTGTTTTTGGAACGATCATTAAAGTTAATGTATTCTTTTCGCTCTTTAGAAAACAAATGCCATAACTTTGATAAGTTCGTATTGATTTGTGGTGTGTGAACTGGCATTTGAAATTGTTATGCAAAGCAAGGCTCTATTTGGTATACTTAATTTGAATTAAAATTCTATATAATTGAACTGTATGAAAGTAAACTCTAATTCAATTTTAAATTCTTTGTTTAGTATAATTAAAGAATTCATATGGAGTTATATTATAATTCTAAATTTTTAGCTTAGTAACATAAAATTGTATTTATAATTGTATAGAGTTATATTTTGAGAATTCCTCACAATAGAGTAATTCAAACCAATTAAAGCCCTAGCTAACGACTACACTTATTCTTAGAAAAATGAAAAAACTAAAAACAAATCATACAAGTCTACAACAAAAAATTGTCAAATGTAAAATACAAATATAATTTTTAAATTTTAGTCTCAAAATTTTACATTATTAATTATAAATTATAAACTTAAGCTGTAAATTTTAAACTTTTACAATTTCTCCCTATATTTTAAAATATTGAACTTTAATTGTAAACTATAAGTTTTAAATATTAAATACTAAATTGAAATTTTAAAATTTAATATTATAAATTTTAAGTTTAAAATTTTAAAATTTAATATTATAAATTTTAAGTTCAAAATTTTAAACTTTAAATTATAAAGTTTATTTTTAAATTTAAAATTTTAAATTTTATATCTTACATTTTAGTATTTGACTTTTAAATTAAATTTGGAAATTTTAAATTTTAAATTATATATCTTACACTTTAGAATTTGACTTTTAAACTAAAATTTGGAATTTAGATTTTAAAAATATATTTTATAATTTATATTTCAAAATAAAAATTAAAATATTAAATTTTAAATTTTTTAAATATTAATTTTTAAATTTTTAGATATTAATTTTTAATATTTAATTTTAAATTTTTAAATTTAAATTTTAAAGTTTTGAATTTAAACTTTTAAATTTTAAAAATTGAACTTCAAATTTTTAATTTTAACTTTAAAAATTTTTATTTTTATTTTTTAGTTTTAAACTTTTGATTTTTAAGTTTAAATTTTCAATTTTCAATTTCTAGATTTAAATTTTCATTTTTTAACTCTTAATTTTCAATTTCTAATTTCCGATTTTAAATTTAAAATTTTTGTTTATTATTTTAAATTTTTAACTAAAAAAACTTAATTTTTAAATGTTTAATTAAAATTTTTTAATTATTAATTTTTATTATTAATTTTAAGTTTTAATTTTTTTACCTTTAAACTTAAAACTTTTGAAATCTATATTTGATCTTTAAATTTTATAGTGTAAAATTTTATTTTCAAATTTTTAATTAGTTTTTATTTTTTATTTTTAAAACATAAAATTAAAAATGTGTGTGTAAACTTTAAAACTTAAAATTACTTTTTATTTTTAAATTTTTAATTTTTTTATTTTTCTATTTTAATTTAAATATTTGATTTAGAAAGTTTAAACTTTAGATTTTGTATTTAAATTTTAAATTAAAATTTCTCATTTGGAATTTTTTTTTAACTTTGTTTTTTGATTAGTCAAAGAAGCTAAAGTAAATCAAAGAAGCCATAAGCAAGCCGAAAAGTCATTTTCCAAATACACTAAGTCCTTGAACAGAGAATGACTGAGATGATTTGTGAAGAGAATTTGATGTATATGGTTGAGGTGCAAACCACATCCCACATTAGGGGTGGAGAAAAGAAATGACTTAAATAAATAAGTCTAACCTATCTCTTTAGTATATATGAAGCCTTTTGGAAGATACTAAAAACAAATCCATGACGGCCTAACCCCGAGCGGATAATATCATACGAATGCGGGGATCGTGGTTAGGATAAGGTCACATGTGATCCAACATTGAGCGTTGTATCCTTTTTAGTGTTAACGATGGCATAAGATGGTTTGGTTGATAAGATATTGTGACCTTAACATATTGGTAGTTTGCGGTATACTTTGTGTTGAAAGTCTTTCTTGTAGGAGGAGGTCAAGCAACATGCCCCGTGAGGTTGAAACTATGGTGTAAGAAGGTGTGCAGATCAAAATGGATAATCGCTGAAGGAGATGTCACGAGATTGTATGGTCTGGGTGTGAAGGGATGTTTGTTGAGGTGCAAATCCCATCCCATATTAGAAGCGAATAAGAAGAATGTGCTAAATAAACTCTAACCCAATCCATTACTATGAAACCTTTTGAGAGGTGTCCAAAAATAAATCTGCGAGGGCTTTGCTAAGAGTTAATAGGATCATACCTATTCCAGGTTGAGTGAGAGCACGCGTGTTTCTAACATATATGTTCTTTGAAAAATGTGATTTTATTGATTTGTGTCAAAGTACACTCAACCCTCAAGCTAGAGGGTATTCACGAAAAACAATTACGATAGAAAATTATTAGATAACACTTAGCTGAAGAAACCAATTTGACTAACTTTAATGAATATCATACATGTGATAAATTTGCCTGAGCATATTTTGAAAGAATTCACTTGATAAAGTATTTGCATTCGGTCTATGACAACGCTACTAATAACACCGTCACCATTCCTAGACTTGTTGCATTTTGCCCCCTACGAGCGCCATGAGTAGATTTTTACACCAAAGGTGTGCATTGCATATTTTAAATTTTTATATTTAAGAGGGGTTAGGAGTTATGAGGAAATAATCACCAACATTAAGAAGGATTTGAAATTAATTGGGGTAGTCGATTGAACTAGTGGGTAGGGAATGATTCTTGATGTTCTAGGGGTAGAAAATTGAAAACATTTTCCAAGGACATTATAATCCGGTGGAACATCACATATAAATTGATTGCATAGATTTTGAGATATAAGATCAGATAAACTTGCTTCTTTTCTTAAGTTTGAACTTTATCATGTGATTGATAAGAATGGATTTATTATTATTAAAAAATTATCCAACGTGGTAGAAGTTTTTAATAATGTAACTCTATTTTTATCACATGTTTAGAACCCAACGAGTAACAGATTCTTTTCTAAGTGTGCTACATGTTTCTGTTAAACTATGACTGATTTACTCGTGTATCCTTATGTCCCCTATGAGAGAAAAAAGTGGTGTGCTTATTACTTGCATATTCTTGGTATTTACAAAATTAGTATTATGTGTAATCTCCTCTTCAAGACTTAGAATTTTAAAGTTCTCACGGAGTACTACTACACTTGTTTCTTAGATTTATTAATTACATCATATTGACTAGAAGACTAAGATGGATATTGTCATCACATTATTTGAGTCTTTATTTCGGATCTATTTGGTACATGGAATTTAAAATATGTAATTTGAATTGGGAAATAATTCCAATTCAACTATTTGTTAGCACAAAATATGTGAATTTAGAATTGGTGGTGCCAAAAATGAATTGGAGTAGGAGAATTTAATTTCATCCAAATCAACGATAGAATTTCAAATCCAATTCAATTCCATTTCTATCAATTCTGTACACCAAACGGATCCTTAATGAATTCCAATATTTGTACGGAACCCCCCCCCCCCAAAACTAGTGAGATACAATCTCGTACTACGTGAAGGGGAAGACAGCTTTTAAATTGGTTGCTTCTTGTCTGAGAAAAATAAGACTAGCTCCATGTCTACAATTGCAAGTGGTACAAGGATAAGTTAACACAATGAACTTGTGATATACCAAAGCGTCCCATGCAACTACGAAGAAGAAAATGAAAATGAGTTTGAATTCCTCGAATGGTGGAAGCAGAATGAGCGCATGTTCGCGTCACTCGAAATGCTAGTTAAACGGGTGTTATCTGTGTCGGTGTCAACGGTAGCCATTGAGCAGAAGTAGCGGCAATATTTTGACCAACTTCTAACGTTGTCTCAACGCGAAATCACTTGAGACACTAACTTGCAATCGAGATTGATTTTTGGCGAGATGTCAATGACAAGAGTTGGGGTACGACATGGATACGCCAAACTACATGGACGTAACCACTGAGAGAAGTGGTAGTTTAGACGAGTGACTTACTTAGTATTTTTTAAAAATGTAAATTAATTTTTTTAGAAAATCGATTTATAAGATCCTTTGAAGGTTTCTTTACGATCCTTTACTCCGTCATTTTTTTAAATCACCATGACATTAAATGGAGTTGTGACTTATGTGCTATCTAATTTTCATTATTTTACAAATAACAACTACATTTAGACAACCGCATAATATCTATCGAGTGATTTTTCTCAAATTCTAGCAAACAGAGATTCTAATTGGTGATTAAGGACAACAAGGATAGAGATAACGGCGGTGGGTGATTCTCTTGAAGTTAGGGGTAAGCTGGGAACGAGCCAATGAAAATCAAAGCATCTTCTGACATCGAACAGCTTTGATTTTTTCTGATCTTCAGTTTGGCTTTTTTCCTTTGATTTGAGGAGAAATAAGATGAGAAAGAGATATATTTTTGGTGGTGCATAATTAGTTGAAGAGAACTTAGGAAAAAAGGATTTGGAAGAGAAGAAGAAGAGGGAAGAAAAAAAATCCATGAGGAAAAAAGAACAATCAAACGACTTGTATCTCAAAAGTTATACCTCAAACACTACACCGCATGTATACATCTTCATTTTGTGCCAGTGTAATGCTAGAGTGATGGTTCACACAAGCACAAAATGTTAGTACAACTTTTTTTATCGTGCTAGCATATTATGTTAGTTTAAACCATCAAAATGCAAGTGCATATAACTTTAGTGTACACTTTGGATTACATTTCATGAAGCACCTCTAGCATGGCTGAAAAAAGAAATAAGAATGAGGAGAACAGACAAAAAAAAAATGAAAAGAGACAGGAAAGAATTACCAAAAGATTACCTCCAAACTGACTAAACTACTTTTATTGAAAGGATGATAAAGTTCATGTATTTTTGTTAGAGAAGAAAAGTTTATATGTCGAAGTGAAATTAAGTTAAAAGTTCATGTGTCATTCGTAAATTTTACCTGTAACACATTACTCAAAAAAAGGGGCGGATCTACTCCCAAACAATTGGGGGCAAATGCCCCCAACTAAATTTTGGTGTTAAATTAATAATTTTTTTAAAAACAAAAAATTATTATATATTTTAGGCTGCATGCCCCCATCTAAAATTGAGATTGACCCATCTCACATTATTTACTCCCTACAAAAATGAATGGAACCTTATTTAATTAAGCTAACTTTTAATTTTTTGTTTAATATTATTGAAGTAAAGTGTATTTTATTGCATTTAATTTATTGTTTAAAATAAAATTTTACATTACTGATTAAATAAAATTTTACCTTCAATAAATGTTTAAAATAAAATTTATTATTTTTGTCATTTCAAATTATCTTTTTTAAATAAAAAAACCAGGGACGCTGCCCCGACCAATTGTGCCCCCATCTACCTGAATTTCTGGATCCGCCACTGCTCAAAAATGAGTTTTCAGTTAATTGAAAATGAGCATTCAATTCCTCGCAAATAAGTATTCACTGCGAACGTAGGAAAAATACGATAGAACTGATTGTATGGTATATATTGTAGGGGAAAAAATCATATTAATGCGTGAGAAAAAATTATACACTCTCCATCCCAAAAAGGATGTTACAGATATTATTTCAGTCTTTCGATAACTTTTATTTATTTACTCGTTTTGGTTGAACATTTGATAAAGTAAAATATTCTTGATGCATCATCTAGTTTTGTAGAATTTTTGATGGATTTTTGAACGATATAATACTTACTTTTTATTTTTTACCAATTTCTAAATAAAATAATTTTAAAGGATACTCCATATCATATTACGCTCATTCTTCAAAATGTTGTAAACTATTTGGGACGAAAATAGTACTCCGTAGTAAGTATATTTTCATGGAAACCAAACCAATAATAAAAAGGAGAATGCTAGGTTCACAAATAAGATATTCACAAACTTCACAAATTTATTATTTTTGATTTAAATTTTCGTTTTAAAATTATTTTAGACTATTTATTTTTATTTATTGAAGTTCACAAATAGTAAATTTGTGAAATTTGTGACTATTTTATTTGTGAACATTTCCCTAATGAAAAACTTAACGGCACAGCATTAAATACGACGAGTACTTCCCACCGCCGACAATCATACAATACAAATGCCGGAGCACCGACGTCAGACGTTACCAGTTGACAGACAAAGCTGAAAGAAACCAGTGGCGGGAAAACGATGAAGCCAACTGTGGAGATCAACAAGTTGAGGTTCACCTACCCCGGAATCGACGGCCACCCGCCGCCTGGATCAACTCCGCTAATCGACGATTTCTCCCTGACCCTCTTTCCCGGCGACCGCCATCTTCTCGTCGGATCTAATGGCGCAGGTTTGATTTTCATTCTTATCCTCAGATTCCTGCAAATATTCCATATTATGCTGCACTCTCATCCCGCGGAAAATTTGATTTTACCAAGAAATCAGCTAGGTCATTGAAATTTCGTGATTTGGTGTCTGATATAATCTGGTTTGGCTTCTCAAAATCTCAGGGAAGACGACAATTCTCAAGATATTGGGAGGGAAGCATATGGTGGATCCAGATATGGTTAGAGTTTTAGGACGATCAGCATTTCATGACACTGCTTTGACGTCTTCCGGCGACCTTTGTTATCTTGGGGGAGAGGTTTCTTCATTTTCTTTTCTTCAATTACCTCTCTTTGGTTTCATGTTTTTTTTTCATTCTCTTTATGCTGGTTGTTATGATTATGTACTGCTTGCTTGACTCTTGGTTTAATTCTTAGGCTTTTTCTTTTAACTAAAGTTCAATGCTTCCAATATTCCAAATTTAAAGTTCCCATTTCCATTTTGCACGGAGTTTATGAAGGGTGAAATTGTATTGTTGTGATTTATGCAGAGGAGTAAGAAATAATATGAATGGTACAATTCATTCATTCCTTAAAATAAAAGAGAACTTTGTTTCGAAATGTTCTTGAAATGAAAAATGAAACCTTAGTTTCAAGACGGAGGGAATATAATTTTTGAGTAAAATTTGCAATTAGTTTTGTGCTTTTGTTTGCATATGAAGTTATCAATTAAAATGAGTTTAGTGCAGGTGCCTTCTATATTATTCAAACCTTTTTCTCATTATGCCAATGTATGGAGCTTTGAAAGATCCTAATTGCTGATATACTAACTGCCATTTATTAATTGTGAGTTTGCTGCTGATTAAACCCATTAAAAGGGAACACAGACTATAGTATTTATCCTTTCTTAGTTGGTTGCTATCTGAAAATATGTGGGAGAACTTCTAAGATTGATGACAACCAGTTATCTGTTCTGAAAATTGGTGGCTGCAAAGCAGTAAACTGATGTGTTCCCTGCTTTCTAACCACAGTGGAGGAGAGAAGTTGCTTTTGCTGGGTTTGAGGTGCCTATTCAAATGGACGTCTCTGCTGAGAAAATGATTTATGGGGTTAAGGGTGTTAATCCCCAAAGGCGAGATGAGTTAATTAAGGTATGGGACATTTCTAAACCAAATTTGACACTGATAGTGAGTATTTGTATTTCATCATTGTTCATGGTATGTGTTGAATATTACTCAGTAGGATATTAGGAGGGTGGCCATCCCCACTTGGAAGGTTCACTTATTGTATGCATATAATATGCGCACCCGAGTATTATTTTTAGTCCTTTTTATGTTATTTGTAATACATTGAAGTGAAGTTGAGCAAAAAACTGAGGCTTATGCAATTTTCAATCCTGCAAAACTGGTTATGTGTACCAAGTCAACCAAATGTGTCTTCTCGGGTATTCATGACTTCAAAAGAGATATTGGTAGAGCTGCATAGTGGACTCAAATGTTTACTTCCAGTTATCTGCTGCTGCAGGCATTAGGTGTTGATTTGTCATGGAGGCTACACAAAGCATCCGATGGTCAAAGGAGGAGGGTTCAAATTTGTATGGGTCTTTTGAAACCATTTACGGTACATCCAAATCCACTTTTGCTTCCTGACATAATATTTTCTCTGATTGATGCATAGGCAATTTTGGGTGTCTTCGCACTAATATTGAATTCAAATGACGAAAAAAATATGAGTTCATTCATGGTAGGTGCTCCTCCTTGATGAGATCACAGTTGACCTAGATGTGCTTGCTAGGGCTGACCTGTTAAGTTTCCTGAAGAAAGAATGTGAAGAACGAGGCGCTACAATTATTTATGCCACACATATCTTTGATGGGCTTGAGGATTGGCCTTCTCATATTGTAAGAAGATACTCATATCGCCATACTTCCTTAGTTCCTTGTGTAATTATGTATTCGTATCGTGTCCTGTTCAAACACAAACTTGGTTATTGCTCTTTTATTTTAGGTTTATGTGGCTCATGGAAAGTTGCAATTTGTTACCCCAATGAGCAAGGTTAAGGAGATCAGCAACATGTCACTAATGGTAAGTACTTATGTTCAATTTTGGTGCATGGCATGACAAGCAGCAATATGGATGAAGAATTATGCAAAAAGCACTCAAATATTTTTTCAAGCCAATAATCCAAAACTTGTAGTGGATGGTCATGCATTATTCACCAATCACCACCAAGCATCTCTTTTTAAATTCATAGCCATAAAAATGACAAATATACAAATTTCCCTAACAATAGCTATGTGTTGGGAGTCCATCCTCCCAACATTGGACAATTCTAAATAATACCGCTCCCATATAAACAAAGATGAAGCTCTGCCCATTGGGTTAGGAAGTGGATCCAGACTTTATATGGAAAAGTGGTTAATCTCACCCGACACTCTGCCCGATTCACTCGGCTGACCGACCGCGAATCCAACACTATGAATACCTGTTTCTATATCATTCTACCTGATGTCGGTTGCATTCTGTTGGTAATTGGACGTGCAGCGAACAGTAGAAAGTTGGCTGAGGAAAGAAAGGGACGAGGAAAGGAAGCGAAGGAAGGAGAGGAAGGAAAAAGGGCTCTCTGCTTACGAAAAACAAATCGAAGGAACTCGTGTGGTAGGGGGAGACCCTGTTCGCGTACTAAACAACGGTTGGGCTGGTGGAAGGCTACATTCTACCCTTGCTGGTGAGGACAATTTTGTCTATAGCTCAAATAGGGTTCTAAGGTAATAGCCATTGGAGTTTGGTTCCTTATCATTCTGTTTGTTTCCCAAGCCCCCCTTGTGTACTAATAATACAGTTTGTATATTGCAAACTGTTTTTTTTAATGTGTGAATAATTTTTTTGATCAACTATTCATAAAGTACTACCATTATCAATAAATGTATAATTTTCGTTCTATTTTTTTAATAGTAGAATTGTTCAATGATCCTGTCCCAAAGTATAATGTCCTTTATTGTAAACGCTGGTTTAATCAATGTGAATAAAATAGGATTTACTTTTCAAACTTTGTTCCTCTAGTGTAGTCACAAACTTACAATATCAAAAAAATACAGTAATTTCAAAAATTTTAAGAGGGTCAAAAATTTTAAGAGGGGCAAAAACTTAATTTCAAAAGTTAAAAGAGGGATATAATTGTGAGTCCGTGTGTCTTTGTAGTATTTCTATGGAATGAGTGTTTTCTTTCTACCAATGCTTATTGGCTTAATTCTGATAAAAAAAATTGACTTATTAGATGTTTATAAGCGAAATATTTTTTCATAGAAGTATAATGACTAAAATGATAGAAAGTAAGTTCTACATATTTTTTCTGACTTATAAGCAATTTATAGGTTAAATTTATAAGTACGGAAAAGCATGTCATAAGCTGATTTATTAGTTAAAAATTGCTTATAAGTAGTTTTGATCAACTCATAAGCACAGAGAAACACTCTCACTCTCGCATGAGACTCAAATGTATCCATGCCCTTCTCACTCGTGACTCACCCACAATCATCACGACAAATCGAGGTATACTGTATACACAATGTACGGAGTAAAGCAAGAATACACCGCATAAAAAAACAAACATAAAAAACCGAGTAATGTTATAGGTACACCAAATGGCATCGTATAAATCATGAATTGGAGTCACCAGGAACACTCAAATATCTTGTATTTCTCTAGCTGTAACTCATTGACTCGTCTTCGCAATCACATTTTTGTTCAATGCAACTTCGAAGGAAGCTCTACTCCGTAGGTCCAAATGAAAACTCAACATTGCATGCTACGGAGTATTATTTTATATAGATGGCTTGATTGGCTCGAAACATGAATAAAAAGAGCTGATCGATTTAAGCGCATCTAGCAAGAGAAACATGGCGACTCCTATTTCGCCAAAACACTCCCAAGTAAGGTGTGCTGACATTTCGGTCCCTTTGTGAAGAAGAAAAAAATCCTCTAGTATAGTTTTCAAGTCACTACATGTCCTAATGGCCTGATACAATACAATGCATGATTCAAAGAATCCTAAATAATCTTATGTTCCAACTTTTCTTGGCAATACCAGAGGAGATAATGTATGGCATAAACACAACTGGTAGACTTCACATTCTCTTGGCAATAATAGCCATATTCCTAGGAGACAATACTGGGTCAAAAACAGGAAACAGGCCAACTTCCCGGCACTTACCGCTCTCCTGGAGGAACAGTAACCGATCAAGTAAAATAAGAGTTTCCAAAACGGGTCCAAGAGCAGCACGAAGAGACCAGTAAGGCCCTATCATCCTCTGCTTTAGAAAAAAAGGTTCATTAAATTCATGGGTTCTGGGAGTACTATACGTCACGAAGCGGAAAGGGAGGAAAAATAAAAAAATCTGGATACACTTTGGTATAAAAATAAAAATAACTTACAGAAAAAGATTGTGTCTCCTTCCATATGTCAAGATAATCAATTTCCTGTGACTGGAGTCCCAGGCGGGCAAGCCCAGATTCACAGAATTTCATGAATAATGAAAAACTGTCCACCGAATTTGTAGTTCCACTTCTGAAACTCGGAGTGGAAGATGTTTTATGAAAGAAGGCATCCTCATCCCCATCACAGCCTAAACCTGCAGCGTGTTATAATAATGATAATAATAATAATAATAATAATAATAATAATGTATAGACATCAGTGTAATTGTCATATTTCAATAAATAAAATGGTGTGGAGGAATTTTTAAAACTGTGTCAACCCATCAACAAACAAATACCATGTAGCATTAGCCTTTACACCTACATCAAAAAGGTTGTTTCTGACTTTCCAAAAGATCCCCACATTTCCTTTTCACTTCCACATTTTCTGTTGTTCCACATTTTCTTTTTGGTTTTTCAAAAAAAAAATCTACTTTCTATTTAAAGAAGGAATTGTGTGGTTAATACAGAGTATTATTTCTCTCCTATGCATATATATCAAACACACAATTTTGCCTTTCTTAATATCGTGTCTGGACAAATGTAGACCCTTATTTTGGGAAGGAGAAAGTATATAACATCGTTAATGAATCAGTTTACCCTTCTTGACATCATGTCCACAACCAAGGATGGAAAGAGAGCACTTAGTTTTATCATCGCTTATATTCTTTGAGGAGCCTCCACTAGATCCTCTAGGGCCTTGACACTGCAGATTAGATTCCAAGGTTCTATTATAGTGTTGGCGGCGTAATGTTTTTCCTTGGCGTCCTACTGCAGGACTTTTTGTCAATACATCTGAATAATATCGCAACAGAATCTGCAAATTAAGCAAACAGTTTTAGTAACTCCTGAAAACCATTGTAGAGTGACACTGCAGAGAAAAACTTGACACGATTCAAACATAATAAAAAAAACTAATAAATTAGCAAGTACCATCTGGAAGGCAGCACGAAATGTATGCAATTCAAAGTTGTGGAGGCCAGCAGCTTGTTCTAAGCCTTTCCATCTATCTGCACTCTGTTAAAGCAAGACAATACAAATATCCCACAATAAGCATTGAAGCGCTAATAAAACTGCAATTCTTCATTATCTACCATATGATTCTAGGCTAAATTATATTCAGCTCTACATGACATCCTACATTAAGATACCATATCTCAGATGCACTTGATTCCAAATAATTCATACCCCGTATTACTTAATACTTGTGCATCTAACCACAATGGATCGTAATTATAGATTCATATATATTATACGAAAACAAAAATGAAATTACCTGGCAAGCAAGATCGCGAGCACTTTTACCAAGAAATAACCCAACATTTCTAACACTTTTACTCAACGGAAAACCACAAGTAGAACCATCCATGGCAGGAGCTTCCTCAGACAGCAAGTTATAGCAGCATCCAACACTAATCACTGCTTTTATTTCATCGCATTCCAAGAATGTCCTATTTGAATTAAATAAATATTGAGTCAAAACTAAAATACAAGTGAAAAGTAGGGTTTTCATGTCAAGATGAAGTTGAGCTAAATAACCATGATAGATGGATCTCAAATTAAGTATCATGGATTTCTAGCTTTTTCTGAGACATTTGAAAAGGGCAGATCATACATCGGATCACCTCAACATAGTCACTGAAAGATCTCCACAGGCATGAAGTCCAGCAAGAATCAATGGTGGATCAGCAATCCTGTACGAATGAGGAGTTAATTTGTACTCAACTGGACTGTGTCCAATAGATCTTTCTCTGAAAAGACGTTTTTTTTGAACACTATATGCATGGAGTGAGCCATTACTCAACGCCTTCAATGTCTCAGAGGACAGTACTTGACAGGTAACAGTCTCTGGCACGCACAATTCTCTGCCTTTTGATCTAAAATTTAACAATGAAAGTATCAACAAATGTTTAGGAGTAGAATGTCAGCATTTAATTACGAAATGAATGCATTATACAACAAAAAGTGGTCCATATGAAATCGTGAAAATTTGACACAATTTGATTTTAAAAGATACATTCAAGATTTAAGCCGTATACCCAGATTTGCGCATCTTCGACGCATAATGCTTCCTAATTCTTTCTGCACGTGCATTAGTAATCTTTCCATGATGTGAAGAGGCATCAATCGCAACAACAGAAAGGTCATATTCAAATGAAAGTACTTGTGCAAGATAACCCTAAAAGAAGGAGCAAATGAGAAGTGAATAATATTTATTCTCGTTTGAAATTCATTGCTATATTATTATTTTATCCCAATTCATACTGCTAATCAAAGGAGCATGTATATCAAGTAGTAAAAGAGTAGGGTTGAAAAGCAGCGAGGAACATGTTTGAATGGAAACATCGCCATTACTCATTAGCAGCAAAGATAATCACCTGACCAGAACCAACATCAACTATGGCTTTGGTTTCAACTTCTCTGGCAATCACACCTACAACCGCAGCAAGCGCTTCCACCTGCTTATGCAATATTAGCCCTCACAAAAAAGCATATTGTGAGGACATGGTTTAAGAAAATGTGGATCTTATATTAAATAAGCATAGAGTTCCAATTGTGCTTTGGTGATTAATATGAAGTTAAAACTTTAACAAGATATCATGCTTTGTACTACTTGAAATGACTGGTTTGTGATTCTGTGAGTACAATTTTTTTAAGTTGAGGCCAGTCCCATCGGGCCATCAGGGACATGTTTTACTTTTACATGCTTAAAAAATTTCAGTGTATGCTAACAGTTTCTGGTAACAAATGAGTGCTATATAAGTTTAACATTAGAATGCAAATCTTCACAGAAACAGGGTTGCTTAGTTTTGAGGTCCTAGGGACTAGGCAAAAACTACATATACACAAAGTGAGCCCATCATATTACGACCCAGAATATCATAGATTCTATCAACAATGCTTGATGGACTACAAGTCCACTATAGGATTTGTGAAAGGTGATAATGCTAAAATATTGCATACTTATTATATAACCTAATATAATCCCCAATTATGTTGGTGTCTGGGAGGTCAAAAACAGAGTCTACTTTTGTTACCCCTTTGATATGTTGCTGCATTACTACCCAAAACTTCATAAAGATAGAAAGTAAGAAGCAAAGGAAGTTTAATGTGCTAACTAATCCATTATTTACCTTAACTTTAAAAAATTGTCAATAATGACTTTCTTTTTTCCATTGGTGTATTCATTAGACTCGGTTTATAAAATAAAATCAATGTATGAACATATTTCATAAGAAAGTTCTCTTTGTAATCTTTATACAACACTCAAATTTAGGAACCTAGTAAGGGTAGCTACACTTAGATTTAGGCACTTAGATTAAGGAACCTAACTAGTGTCTATGCACCATCTGTCTCTTAATAAACTTCCCTTTTCCTTTTTGGGTTGTCCCTAAATAAACTTCACATTTCCCTTCAAGAAAATAAATGTGTTGTTAATTTTGTTTCTTTAATTTATAAATAAATCTCAACCATACAACGCCACTATCTTAAACTCCGTGATAAAAGCAATGTGAAGTTCAATTAGGATGGAGTATAAGATTTTTAATATACACATGAAATCATTTGCCCAAATACATAAAGAAAAGTATTGCCCACATCAATGCAAACCCAAGTCTCGTCCATGCTTACATTTATTTTGTTTTGAATGGTTTAGATTAAACTGCAGTACCAAATAAACAGAATCACGGTTGTGAATTACCAATATTATTTTCTAAATATTGAAAAACAAATGCATTTCATTCAATAAACACCAATAAAGACTTTTTAATTACATATCTTTATATATTAATTTATTAAATAAATTAATAATTTTCATCATCTCCGATGGAGCCAAAAATTGACTATTTTTTGGCTTTGGGTGTGGTGGAATAAAGCAAAATGGATCTCTAAATTGTTTGCGCTTCTTTAATTAATGATGTTAGTTAATCATTTCAACTTTTGACGCTGAGCCAAGGGTCTCTTTGGAAACAACCTCTCTAATTTCGAGTAGGGGTAAGGTCGGTGTACGCACACCCTCCCCAGACCCTACTCTTGTGAGATTTAATTGGGTTGCTGTTGTTAAATAAATTAATACTCCAAATTTGTGCTTTAAAAATGATGCCCATATCAAACATGTGGTCGTAGACATATTCTTTGGCCAGCTACCCCCTTGAGATGAAGGTCCAATGAAACTAGGATATAACCAGTAATTTGTGCCACAATTTGCCATCACTTAAAAGTTAAAACACATAGTAACATGCAAACAACAATAGTGAGACATTTCCAATGTCATCCAGGCATAGCATATCTCCAGAAAAAAAGAGTAAATAAAGGAATTTTAAATATGAATGATAATAAGAATATTCCATGGCTTACTTCGTGTCTTTTCTTACGGTTCATGCCTTGAGCAAGAACAGTACTCAGAGAGGCCATGTGCAATAGTGGGAATTCCTGTAAGCAAGCACAAAGACCAGTGTAACTCACTATCATGTAACTGCCAGCACTAAGGTAACTAAATGATAAACTGAGAAGGTTTCGGGGTGGGGGAAGAAAATAGAAAATAATGATAGGAGAGTGCAATGAGATGTCAAGCAACATGGTAGAAGTTTATTTCATAGCATTCAAATAACAATGTGGATCATACTTCTATAAAAGCCAGATCAAATCAAGTCAGAAAAGAGAAACTGTAATACCTCCTGCAGATTTGCCTGCTTTCTAGGAAGAGAAAGAGACCTCAGAGAATTGACAAATTCCTTAAGTGAAGCAGGCCAGTGATCCTGATGACATCATTGGCAAAGCGTGAAAGAAGATATTAAAGTCTTGCTTCTATATCAAAAAGAACATTTAAACTAAAGAAATGAAAGAAGGGAGACTCCCACGGGCCATGGGCAAATTAGGGGAAAAGAAAATTACATGCTTCCGCCAATAACAATCCAAAAGAATCCCACGAGAGTAGGATCTCGGGAGGGTGTGTGTGTGCAGACCTTACCCTTACTCAAAAGTAGAGAGGTTGTTTTCTAATAAACGCCCAGCTCAAGTAACACAAAAAGCACAGAGCAAGCTAAGTGTAAAGAAGGAAAACACAGAGAAACAAAAAAGTGTCAAACAAAGAAAGCACACAACACCAAGTGCAGGAACTACCACCAAGCCTAAACGCCTACAACACTATCCCTGTCCTAGGTCTCCTAGCGCTCCTAAATATCCTAATTTCACCAATATAGGCAACATTGAAAGCAGATCACATTTTATGGTAGCATACCTTACCTTTCAAAATATTATTCCCAGACGCAATATAAGGCAAAGAAAAAGTACTAAACCTAATCTTAAACAACATAAATCAAAACTTAACCGATCCAATCCCTAAAGCAGCATACATCTGAAAGTTGAACATAATTGCAATTCGCAAATCCCTATCAAAATGAGTTTTAATAATGAGTTTTGGTTTCACAGGAGAAATGACAGGCTCAATTTTGGATGGGTTTCTGGGAAATATTGTACCTCTACTACTGATTAGATTAAATTAGCACATTTATAGCAACTTAACATTACAACTAACAGCTACTCCCTCCGTCCGTATTTAGTTCTCCAACTTCTTGTTTTTGTTTGTCCAGAACTAGTTCTCTACTTTCCATATTCAACAAAGAAATTACTCCGTATGATATATTGTCTAAAATATCCTAGAGAGAAGGCATGAGCATTGTTGGCATGAATGAGTGGCAAACTCATGTGAAAGACTTATTTGACATTTTAAACTCATTTTGTAAAAATGAGATTTTATTAGAAAGTCGACAACTAAATCCCATGGAGGGCGTACAGTTTTTAATGAATTCCGGACGACCGACGAGCAGAAGCTTATTACTGAATAACTGAATGAATATTGATCTCCATAAAAATAAAAGAAACTAGAAAGTATATTTCTTAGGTGACATAAACTATAAATATACAAAAGTAATACGGACTAAGACAATGGATGTTAGTGTATTAAAAAATTCCAGTTGAACGTGCAGGTGCATAAATTGCTACCTGCAACACACCAGAAGGAATTTGGATAAGATTTTCGACAGGTTCATCTTGTAGACAATCCATCCACTCTTTCTCCACAGCTTCCCATAGTCTGTCCTGTAAATTTCAAATGCAATTGCACTTAGATCTCTAAACAAGCAACAAACATATGCACATATACAAAATTCATATTTGTGATGCTAAAAATTTCGCGAGGAGGAGGAGACCTTGAAGAAATTGACGACATGCGCATCGAGGAAGAACTGATAAGGCTTAATGAAGTCCCGGATTGCAAGAATCCATTGAAGAGTTTCACTGGGAGTTTTGCACGAGTATTTGCAATCTCCAGCCATCTCCATCCCTAGGAGAACCCCGTATCGGTCAGTTTGACGGGAATGACGGCGGCAAGTGTGTTCTACAGAGTATTTAATTTCAAATTAATACCAACATCAACAAACATAAGGTATTTATAAAAGGAATTTCCAAGTAATATTTAATAATAGCAAACTAAATAAAAAAAATCTTTGTTATAAAAAACTAATTTTAGAATTTAATCCAATTCCATAAAGTAAAAGGAAATATTGCCTCCATTAACAATGTTATCGTTTTGAAAAAACTGTCCAACAACAGCTTTAGCGTTAACGTTTTTAAAATTAATCTACGTCATTAAAAGTTTATCCAAAAAATTAACGATAATCTAAAACGTTATTCTCAAACAAAGTCATTATTATTAATTTCCATTCTTTTCATATTTTGTAGTTTTATTTTAGTTATTAAAAGTTGATTTAAAAATAACTTCATTCAAACATCGTAAATCAAATGTGAGTTTCATTTTGAGACGGAGGGATTACTTTGCAACCTTCACAATTCTAAGACTGGCAAACTCGCACATTCACAATTCGTAGTGCTCTTGAAGCTAGTCTCTTGCTTGAATGGATGATGACAATGAAAAAGCAATGTCATCAATGATCACATTAGAAGAAGTTACATCTCCCGAATCGATTCTTATGGGAACACACATAGTTCACAGTTGTCGTCTCTTCAAAAAATTGTGGTCGTGATTGAGGCGGAGGCCAAGGCAGGTCACAACTTGGCCGAGGGAATAGACCTCACCGTGGTAGTCAAAGTACTGGTTGAGGTCAGTATGACTGTAACCTTTCTATATACCTAATCTATGATAAACATGATCATTCTGCATTTGCATATTGGTATCAAGGCAACTCATGCGATCCTGACGGGCCAACGAACTTAATTCACACAGCGGAAAAAGTCTCAGGGGTTTTGAAAAAATGATGCAACAAGAACGTTGTATTCCTAAGTGGGGGTAAATGTAGTGCTCGTGTTAACACAATTAAAAAAATCTCAAAAGGATTTATAGTGCTAATCATGTCAACAAGATGCATCTTCTTTCCGAGATCTTGTCACTTAGAATTTTTGAGGTTAAGCATGCTACACTTGGAGTAATTATATGATGGGTGAACTTCTTGTAAAATATTCGAGGCGCACACGAGTGAAGAGAAAGTGTGCAAAAAATATTTATGTTGATTTGTGAGAGATCAATCTGCAATCTTATGAACAGACACTAGTTTGCAAGGTCGAAACCGAGGTGTTAGAGTGCGAAATTTATGTGGGTTTCATGAGCGTATAGCTCAGATATATAGCCCGTGAGCATTGAGCTTTAGCGGACCTTGTGAACACAGAGCTGAAGTATATAGCTTGTGAGAATGGAGCTTAGACGGATCTTGTTATTTTGTGGGTCTAGTTTAACTTTTAAGAAATTTTTAAAAAAAAAATAATAAATATATAAGAGAGAATTCTTTTGACATTTATTTTTATTTTTTAAAAAATAGAATAAAATAAGTGAAAAGTATACTCCCTACATCACAAATTATTTGTCCCAAATTGACTTATATGCTAACTTTGACCATAAATTAAATAGTACGAAGTATAACTTTAAATACTGAAAATAAAAATTTGATTATGATATTTTATATTATAATTCAATATACGGAGTAATATTTTACTAACTCCATCCAAAAAGTTTATATTATAATTAAATATAACTTTTTACAATATATGATTGAAATTAGTATCTAAATTAAACTAGGATTAATAATTTTGTTTAATGCATTCACTCACCTCAGATATAAATTGCGGTTATTCTTTAACGTTGGAGCGACCCCCAAATACCCGATCAACCCAGATGAGAGGAAGCCGTCATCTAACGACTGGTCACAGAAATAGATTCCAGCAACTTTACTGTGCTATCCCAAACACGCAGTCGACCTGGATATCATCTTTGAATTCTTGAGGGTCCAGTTTTGTTCGAAATCTGAATTTTGAGGTATTTGCTGCTTCTTCTGCTATTACATGTTTTTATGCCGCATTTGATTACAAAATCTCGCAATTTTTAATTAATTGCGGAGTATTAGATTTGGAGTGTTTTATTTTGCAATTATTCAATCTATGGATGACCGTTTTCATGCCATTTTGAACCCTAATTTTTGGAGTACGTATACCATACATCCATATGTGTTGTATTTCCATATGAATATTCATTGTTGAGTAACTCAATGCTCATTTGCGACTAACAAAATACTCATTTTCGAGCATAACTGAATTTTAGAGAAATGAGTACTCAGTTACTCAAGAATGAGTATTCACTTGTTTGAAAATAAGTATTCAGTTATTGAGCACTCGTTGCGGATGTACGGGAAACACCGTACAACCACCAGTTGTACAGTATATATTACATTATTTTCGAGGTGTGGATCATGATAGATTGTGCGCTTAATCTAGGCTCTATTGCTGCTTAAGCTTCAATCGTGGATTATATTTTATACTGCATATGTTCTCTTGCATATTGTACTAGACACGTTTTTAAAAGGCCTTTTAAAAGCCCGCCATATTTTTAAAAACGTTTTTTAAAAGCCCTTCATTTGGAGGATTTGTGAATCTGTGATATATGGAAATATCAAATTTGAATTCTTTGTATTCCTCTCCAAACATTAAAAAAAAGATATTGAGAGATATGGCATATCTCATACGCTCACGGCTCACCAAACGGGCCCTAACTCTTCTTGTCCATATCAAGCCTCTGTTTATCAAGCCTCTGTTTAAGCTTCCTCTGCCAAAGATGGCATATCTATAACGGAACCAAAATTGTCCTCTCTTTCAGGAACTAGGGAAGGATAAATTATTCTGTAATGAACAACAAAATATAGGCAACCCCTTTACTATTTTAGTTAATACCTCTCTTTTATCTTGCTCATACATAAAATACAAAGTTGAATACCCAAGAACTCTAAACTCGAATAAAAAATTATACTCAAATACTCCATCTGTTAATATTGGGGACATTAGGTGTTATTCTTGATCTAAGTTTAAACTGTTAAAGTTCTTAGGTATTCAACTTACGTTGTGTTTCATGTATGGTAAAAACAGAGAAGTTGAATTGGCTAAAATGGTCGAGTGTTTGCCTATAATTTGTTTGTTTTGTATAAAAAAATTATTCTTCCTAGCTCCTGAGAGTGGGGAGATCTTTGTTTCCATTACAATTGTGTGATTATCGGGAGGACTAAACTTAGTGCCAATTTATTCCATAAAGAAGCAAGTTAAAATGAAGATGAGGCAATATGACCCAATTAGTATGTTTGTTTGAACTACATTTCATGGGTATTTAGATGATACAAATGGCGATAAGAGATATTAGCTTTGTGGAAACTTAACGAACTTAGGTTCCCCATTACTGCACGTATGTCTCATGATGTTTTAGTCGTATCGATCTCGACTGTAGCATTTGAATCTACATTCCGTGCTGATGGACATCAAGCAAATCAATTTTAAGGTTCTTTAAATCTTAAGGTGAGGTCTTGTAATTTCAATATTGTTAAATTTTAATAGTCACTTTTTGTGCAATAAAAGATTGTTCAATCTCCGATATACGAGGCAAGATTAGATCTATGCTCAATTTTGCAAACCAAAGTTTGAGAGCAGTCAGAGGACCAGAAAAGTTAGAAGCAATGGCGAATTGTATAAAAACTACTCCCTCCATCCCCTATTAAACTTTCCACTTTCTTTTTTTCATGAAATTTAAGAAAAAGGGAAATTCTGTGATTAAGAGATATGTAGGGGAGAAAAAAAACATTTTTTGTTTGGTCGAGACATCGCTAGATTATTTATGTCTATTTTTTTCTTTCAATTAAGATCTATAAAAAGTATTGCCTAATTCGCTCCCTTATTTTTGTTAGATGGATTAGTGACATGCAAATTAAGAAACAAAAAATTATTTGATTGATATTGATTTTAAAAAGTAAAAAAGTAAGAGTGAGTGTGAGTCACACAATTATTACTCAGATTTGGGACAAAATGAGGAAAATAAAAAGAGGTCAAGAATACAAAAGAATTTTATGAATTATTTAAAGAAAACATGTAATTCAATAAATATAATACTGTAATTATTTCAATAATTTTCATTTTTTTCATTTCCTTCCAGTTTTTTCTAACTTCTTTGAGTTTCTTCCAACTCCTTCCGGTTTTTCAACCCCTTCTAGTTTCTTCTAACTCTTTACAATTTTTCCATCTTATTCCAATTTCTACCAATTTCTTCTAACATTTAACTTTGTTTTTTACAACCCAACCGAATAGAGCCTAAGTACTTGAGACATAACAAATCAGAAAATTTTACAAGAAATTATACTACGGTACAAAATTAGTACTTTTGGTTCGGTCTAGATTTTTCCAGTCTAGTATAAAGCCGGAAAGAATTGGATAGAGAGGACGCATGAGGTGACAACGCTAGGACAATCGAAGGGAATTCGGATTCCCCATCTCCAGACTCCAATCACGTATTCTTTAGGTGCGATTTCTTTGATTTATTCTTCTTGTTTGGAATAATTTTTTTTATTTCTTCTTTGAATGTTCATTCATTTTGTTTGGTGAGTAGTGAAGTAGTGATGCATGATCCTCCTAATGGCGCCGGCTCTGCGTCCTCCACTCTCCAATTCTCTCTGGCTCCTGCCTGCTATCCAATTCACTCCAATAATTTAGATTATTTGATATATGTTCATTGCCATTATCATTTCTCATTCAAAAATTAGCTGCAAAGTATAGGTATAACGTATACCTATTGGACTCACAAATTAAAATTTAAAGACAAAAATATCAAAATATACTTCATATCACTGCTTTAAAACGAATATCGAGTTTAAATTTCAATTTTTTTATTCACAAATCAACTCATATACTCAGAGTGTAGGTATATGCAGGTCTTTAATCAATTCTTATGCTCAGATCAACAAAAGCTAAAAAGTAAAAATAAAACTATCTCCATTTTGGTTTGGTCTAGATTTTTCTGGTCCAGTATAAATCGAAATAGTTTTTGTCCGGTCATCTTTTTTTTTTTTCTTTTTCATTTTTGGCCTAGTGCTGGACTGAAGAACAGCTCTAGACCCACAACATTGTTTCCCAGTGTACATTAAACTGTGGAGCATTTAGAATGTGTTTTTCCTATTGGGTTTTATTTGGTACATCAAACTTCTTTGACTGAAAATGTCTTGTTTGAGTCAAATTTGCAATGGGCATCTTTTGCTCACCCGCTACTGCTCTTGCTATGATATGAAATCATAGCTACGGCGCTATCTCAGCTCACCCGCTACTGCTCTTGCTGTTGCCACAATAGCCATCCACCCTGCTGTGTAGAGCTCTGTAGCAGTCTAATGTCACTCTGCTATGCCGCTACCAGTTCATGGATGCCACATAATCGGCATTCCACCTAGTGGTGACTTCGAGCTTGTTTTTTTTCATCGGATCTGATTGGATTTGATTTTGTTAATGTCTAGGTCTGATATGGTTGTAATTATATTTAAAGATGTTTTTGATCTGATCTGAGTAATAAATTATAAGAATAAGTTGAAGTCTTGAAGAGAACAAGTTCTTCGTTTGTGGTGAATACCACCATTAACGTGCTTTACTCTGATGTTAGGATTTTGATTAATGTGTCTCTCAGTATTGGCTGTTCAGAATTTATTTGATGTGTTCAAAATTTCCAGTCGGGGTGTATGTAACTTTTAAAAAATCTCAAATACCAACTCTTTCATTGCAGAAGAAATCATGGCTTTCTTGGCAACAGCCGAAGTTTGTGATTCTAATGCAGCATATCTTGCGAGTGGTGACTTGCGGGTCCTGCATCCCAATTTCCAGATCTTTGGGCAATGCCGTGCATTTTCTGGCCCCATTGTTACTCTAAAGGTGTTCGAGGACAATGTGTTAGTGAGGGAGATTCTTGAGACCAGAGGCGAAGGCCGAATCTTGGTGATAGACGGCGGTGGAAGCATGAGATGTGCCTTGGTCGGAGGGAATTTGGTGCAGCTAGCTCAGAATATGGGCTGGGCTGGCATTATCGTCAACGGTTGCATTAGAGATGTAGATGAGATCAACGGGTGTGACATTGGGGTCAGAGCTCTGGCAACACACCCCCAGAAACCCAACAAGAAGGGCATGGGTGATAAACATGTTCCTGTGTATGTTTCTGGAACCTTAATCCGTGACGGGGAATGGTTGTACGCAGATAGCGATGGGGTCCTCATTTCCAGAACTGAGCTCTCCATCTGATTGAGCGAGTCGGCTCCTCCACTTGGGCTGTGTTTGGGTTCTTGGAATGTGCAGGTTTGAACCTTATGCTTTGGATCATTTACTCTCCAAATGATTTGCTTTACATCCAAATTGTGAGCTTGAAACATGGTTGTGCATAGTTTTGCTTTGTTTATATAGTGGTGAAACATGAACTGCTGAAATCAACATTTAGATACCTCAATTGTTGGTTTTGTTTATAATGCTTAGAGAGGGGGATGCACTACAGTGCATTTGAAAAAAAACATCTAAAAATATAAAGCTATGAACAAACCCCGCTGCGTACCAGACAACTTGAAGAATCCCAACTTCATTGTACAACACATCATTCAGAAGATGAATCAGAAACAAGCAGACCATCCTCAGTTTTAGCCCACAAACTGTAATTTTGGTTAGTTTTTAGTCCATTGATTAGACTTTAAGGAATAACCTTTTGATCAGGCTTTGCAACAGCCAAAATCTATCTTTGAGCGAGCGACCTAGTTTATTTTTTCGTTTTTGTGGGTCTATATAACATACAGACTAAAATATAGTACTCGGTAATACTTCGTATACAAAAGTCGGAGAAACTCATTTCCAAAATTCCTGCCCAAATGACTACATGCGGATCTTTGGAAGAATAGACCGATAGAGTTGACTTGGTCCACCATTGGGCAAAGAGTGTATGCGCATTTGGGATTTGCAATTTGACTGTAGGATCGAATGTTTCACCCGAGCGTGTCGTAGGCTCTGGTTTATCATAATCAAATGCGTAGGGAATGATTTCTGAGTCATAGATAGTGATTACTGATTAAGGAAAGACCATAGTCTAGGATAGACTATTAGGTTATTTGTTAATGTGAACTCCAAGTGATGAAGTAGACTATCTTATATAACTACTGATATATTGTGGATTATCAAGAAGTACTCCCTCCGTTCGAAAATGTTCTTTCCATTTGAATTTTCACGGTCTCCAATGTTGCACTATGACCATTAATACAATGTATTTTTTCCACATATCCGAGTCAAAGTTTACAAACTTTGACTAAGGAAAGTCAAATGGGAAGAACATTTTCGGACGGAGGGAGTATGAATTAGCGCGTTATTGTTTTGTTGGACATATACTCGAATATGTACACTCATAGTCAATTTGCAATTGGTGGTTGATACATGTGACCAAAGTATTGTAATGTACTCCGTATGACATTAGGGGGTAGGAACTATCAATTTTTCGACCAAAACACCGTAAGTACCCCGGGTCATGCTATGACATTGAGAGCCAATGTCACATGGACCGGGGTGTAGATACCGACTTCAAACTTTATTGTATAATTTATTGTCATTGTTGAGCGTGTAGTTTGTTTATGTTCTACAAACGTATGTGAAGTAGGAATTATGTGGCTTAGTTCGGATGAAAATAAAACGACAAGATTACAAGTTGTCCTGCATGATTTTTCACAAAAGGGGTATTCTATACTTCTATGGTTTTGCATTATTTCAAGCTTGACTCAAGGTTCTACTGTAATTCCCTCTTGTTTTTTGCTGAAGTTATACTACCCCTATGTTTGGTTCAAAGAATTTAGAAGTAAAAGAAATAGTTTTTCTTCAGTTTCCCCACCAAAATGAGAGGAATTTGGTTTTCCTTTCTCTTAGTACATTTTGCCTTCTCACTATCTTTTCCTCCCACTTTTCTTTTCTTTTCTTCTCTAACCAAACAAGAAAAATGTTTTCCTTCTTATTTTCTTTTCCTCTCCATTTCAAATTCTTTGAACCAAACATAGTGTATGTCTTTTGTGAAGGATTGATCTAGGAATAATAAAGTTTTGGCACTTGATGCCTTTTTGTTATTCTATTGTGTTCTTTAAATTTGCAAAATGTTTTCAAAAGTTTGTCCCATTTCACCCTGTATAATTCTGGGTTAGATAGGTTAGGGTGTTACACTTTTTAGCCCATTTAGCAACAACTTGAACGTTTAGTTTTAACATTTTGAAATTCTCCATCTATATCTTTTTAACTGTCCGGTACTCCGGTTCGCTTTTCGAACCTAATCTTTGACTAATACCATACCTTAAAATATATTAGAAGAAATTTATTAAAAATAATGTACTAAAAGTATTTTTCGATATAGTTAGTCAAACAGTTGGCACGTAAAGTGAAATGTACCCTTAAAAAGGATTGTAGCGAGTAATTATCTAAGAGTAGCGTTTAATTTTAATAATTTTAAAGTTAACTTATATCATTAGAAAAGTATCTAAAACACTAATGCTAGTTAAAAATATTGTTAATAGAAAAGGTCTTTGTTAAAGTTCATCGATCCAAAAAAAAATTTGTTTGATTTGTTGGTTAAACATTACAAATTTGACATAATTAGATTCTTTTTAAGATGCAGTTTTATTATATCAAATCTTATACTTGTAACATTTACTCCATATTCATTTAAAATTATAATGAGTAATTGTCAAAGTATATACTGTAATAGTTTGACCATAAAAATGAAACTATACAAAATTATCCATGAAGGAATTACTTCCCTTTTTAGTTTATAGAAGGTTGTGTTCTCTTCGTTTGATATGATTGGTTGTGAACTGAATTTATTGAGTCTTTGATCTAGTCTGGTCTGAACTTACATAATCTAATTTGATTGTAGTGTAAGTTAAAGTTATGGCTGATCTGATTCAAATAAGAATAAGTAATTACAATAAAAATAATTAATAAGTTAAGAAAAAATAAGTTGAATCTAGACTTGATCTGTAATTGTTAGCATGGGCCTAATAATTTACCACCAAATGCTGGAAATCAATTTCTGAATCCTAAGGGTCGGTTTGGTACAGGGAATTGATGAAATTGGATTTGAATTGAGAATTGAAATTCTATGGAATTGATTTGGATGAAATTCAATTCTCGAATTCCAATTCATTTTTGGCACTGCCAATTTCAAATCCACATATTTTGTGCTACCAAACAGCAAAATTAGAAATATAATTCTCGATTTCAATTCCATAGTGTGGATTTTGTGTACCAAACAGAATCTAAATGAAAACTTTGTTATGGAATGTCGAGAAAAAGAAAGCAAGAATTTAAATATAAGATGACATTAAAGATTGTTTTATTAAATTACGAAAAAAAAACATTATGATTGCCTTTCACATTTTTTGTTTCAAAACGAGAGAGAGTGGCCTCTCGTGCATTCAATTGTTTACAACTTTCCATGTTTTCACTGTAGTTTTAGCTGAGTTTGAACTTTGAATTGTTTTTATGTTTATTACCACTATTTTATATTCCCAAAGACATACATCATCATTTTAACGATTTACACTAATACAAAATATTAGTTCAATAAAAATTTTTTACTGATATTTTATGTAATTGTAAAGCAGCACTTAATATTTTTCCACAAAAAAAGCATAGCACTAGTAACTAGTAATATCACTTAAATTATACGGAGTAATTATGATAAGAACAATTAAATATCATAGAGTTTGCCTTCTAAATTGTGTGATATTTTATTGTTCTCTTAGTCAACATTATTCTCCCTTTGTCCATAAATTTTCTTCTTACTTTCTATTCACATGTTAAAACCTTATTTATTTTATTTGTCTATTTTTGTTGTTTATTTGATCAATTTTATTTTTGTTTATATGCCTATGTTAAAAATATAGTTATGTCATATCTAGTTTTATGTAAAATAAATCTTTTGATATACTTCGTAGTTTTTAAATATAAAATTTTTTGTCCTCATAACACAACTATTTTCATATAATATAAATTAAAATAACTTCAGTCAAACATTGTAATGTGTAACGAGAAAAAATTTTATGAATGGAGGAGATATACACCTTATACAAAGTAAGAACAAACTTATATGGAGCATGTTCTAGTACTCCGTGTGTCCTAATGTTGATTACAACTTTTTTTCTTCTCTCTCCTCTCGATATAACTTTTGTTTATTTGTGTGTTTTCATTGATTATTTGATAAAATTAAATATTCTTGTCCTCATTTATTTTGTAGAATTTTTGACATAATCTTTTAATATGTAATTTTTATTTTTTATCGATGTAACAATTTTTAAATAAAATGATTTCAAAATATACGAGATTTACCTCATAAATTCCAATTTTTAATTAAATTTGAGATGAGGGAATATTTTTTCTCCACGCAAAAAAAACATTTAAATATTTTAAAAGTAAACACTTACAACTTATACACGAAATTCAAATTATAAAATTGGAATTGAGGATAACAATTTCAATTCTAGTGTTTGGTAGAACAAAAATATGTGGACTTGGAATTGGTAATACCAAAAATAAATTGCAATTGAAAAATTCATTTCCATCTGGATAAACTTCATAGATTTTCAATTTCTAATTCGATTCCAATACTGTATTCTGTGTACCAAACTAACCCTAAAACTCCGTTTGGTACACAAAATTTAAAATATGGAGTTGGAAATAACAATTCCAATTATGCTGTTTGGTAGCACAAAAATATGTGGATTGAGAATTGGTAGTACGAAAAATGAATTGGAATAGAGAATTTACTTTCGTGCAAATCAATTTCATAAAATTTTAATTTTTAATTTAATTCTAATTATGTCAATATGTGTCAAACAGACCCTTAAAGTTTGAAATTAGAGCACATGGGCCATGAACAAGTCATTCCATATATATGTTCCAAATAAAAAAATAAAAAAATAGGTTATCTAACTAACTTTGAATTTTCAAAACTAGTAGCTCAAAATTTATTTTGAAATGGAGGGATTATCTTTTCAACAAAATCTAAAGTGTAGAAAAAACATAATTGAAGTGAAAATTAGAAACCAAGATCTTAACTTAAATTTACAAACAAATATTTGTGAAAGCCCCAACTATAAATTAAACTTGTTAATTTGCATGTCATAAGTTTCATTTTTCTCATCGCTTAAATTTTAAAAATTAGTATTATTCCTCTGTCCCAAAAGAAAAAAAGTTATGTGGTGTAGACCATTTTTCTTTTCTTCGTACAAACCACAACAAAACATATTTTTCTTTAATAAAATCGTGTCATGTTAAATAAGAAAATCATTTTTCTGACAAGATTAGCCAAAAACTTAAAATTACAATTACATATTCAATAATGAACTTAAACTTTTAGCTGATTTTCATTATTTTCAAAATGATAGTGAATTTAGCTGATAATTACCCAAGATTATATCCTAATGCCCAAATCTTCTATCTTGATTTTTTCACATAACAATTGATAATGTTGTCTTGCCTTTTTTCGAGGAAAGAGAGGACAAATACCAAACAAAACAAAAAAAACACTCCGTAGAATACTATTGTTACTGTATTTCTTAAAGGAAAAAAAGGGAAGAAATCAAATCTCAAGTTTGACTGGACCCACAAACCGCACACTTCCTTCCCCAATATGAAAGCAACGACCTCAAAAAGCCCCAAAATACCTTTTGTCTCTCTCTCTCTGGCTTTCCTAAATTCATTCATGGGAGATTTTGCAGAAAATCACAGTCCCATGGATCTGTCTTATGTTGTTCTCCTCTTACATAGTAATTGGAGTGAGTAACTGATTAGAGATAACTAATTTCATTTACCCATTTCCCATTTTTTCTCCTCCTGGTAATTCTGCTGCATGCCCACACTTCTTGATTTTCTGTTTTTTTTCTTGACAGTTTTCCATGAAAATTGTTTTTGTTTTCTCGTTTCTTGGCAGGTGAATGTTGTAAATAAGCTCGAAATTTATAAACTTGCTGGGGAAAAATGAAGGTTTTGACTTGTTCCATGGTGGTGGCGGTTCTGAGTTGCTGGGTTTTGGCGGCTGAGTCCGATGATCAAGCTAGGCTTCTGGTCGCCTTCAAGGAATCCTCTGTCGAAAAGGATCCCAATGGGTTCTTGAAAGACTGGGATTTGCCCGCTTCTTCTTCTTCTTCCGGCGGCCACTGCGATTGGAGTGGCGTGACTTGCTCTCCCGATCGCCGCCAGGTCACGGCGGTGGATCTCGGAGATGCCCGGCTTGTTGGGTTCCTCCACATCCGTCATCTCCTGGCCTTGCCGGCTCTCCGGGACGTCAACTTGAGCGGCAACCGTTTCTACGGCAATCTCTCCCTGTCCGACTGCCGGAGCTTGAGCCTGCTCAATCTGTCCAAGAACAACCTCAGTGGCAGCCTGGAGATCTCCCTCTCTTCTTGCCCCACCCTGTCGGCCCTCGATCTCTCCCACAACAATTTCTCCGGGAATCTCAACGATGCGGTCGATTTCGGGGATTGCCGCAATCTGTACGCGCTCGACCTGTCGTTCAACGGTCTCACCGCTACCGATTTCCCTGCAAGCCTGGCGAACTGCGAGCGCCTGGAGAGACTTGATCTCGGGCACAACGCGATTCGCTTGAGGCTTCCGGGGAAGTTATTGGCGAAGCTCAGGAGCGCGAGGCGTTTGGGTTTGGACCATAACCAGTTCTTTGGGGAGGTTCCCTCTGAGCTGGGGGAGATTTGCGCTGGTGTTGCCTTTCAAGATCTTGATCTTTCCGGGAACGAGTTAACGGGCGGGCTACCCTCGACGCTCGCGTCGTGTTCTTCGCTCGCGTCTCTCAACCTCTCGCGGAATCATCTCACGGGCGATTTCTTGAGGAGTGTCGTTAGCCGCCTCGCGAACCTGAGGCGACTGTCGGCGTCTTTCAATAACTTAACGGGCCCGATCCCGAGGTCGTTGGAAAGATGTTCGAAGCTCGAGGTGTTGGATCTGAGCTCGAACGAATTGGACGGGGCGGTCCCTTCCTGGTTTTGCTCCGGGACCGCCGCGTCTGGATTGCAAATGATGTTGCTGGCAAATAACCGCCTCTACGGGGGGATTCCGGCGGAGCTCGGGCTTTGCAGGAGCCTGACGAAGCTTGATCTCAGCTTCAACGGCCTGAGAGGTTCGATCCCATCGGGTGTCTGGAATCTCCCGAACCTCTCGGACCTGATCATGTGGGCAAACGGCATCACCGGTGAGATTCCGGAGGGCATCTGCACAAACGGCGGGGCGAGGTTTCAGACACTAATCCTCAACCACAACTCGATAACCGGGCAAATCCCCGAGTCCATCTCAAAGTGCACCGATCTGGTTTGGATTTCCCTGTCGAGCAACCAGCTGACAGGGGATATTCCTCCTGGAATCGGCGAGCTCTCCGAGCTCGCCATACTCCAGCTGGGGAACAACTCTCTGTCCGGCCCGATTCCTCCCGGGCTGGGCAAATGCAAGAGCCTCATCTGGCTGGACCTGAACAGCAATGACTTGACAGGTCCGATTCCTGCCGAGCTTGCTGATCAGGCCGGCCTTATTGTCCCCGGAGCTGTCTCCGGGAAGCATTTCGCCTTTGTGAGAAACGAAGGCGGGTCGATGTGCAGGGGGCCAGGGGGGCTGGTTGATTTCCAGGGGATCCGCGAAGAGGTTCTCGAAAACTTCCCCGTCTTCAACTCTTGCCCCTCTATTAGAGTCTACTCTGGCACGACGATCTACACGTTCTCCGGCAACGGGAGCATGATTTACCTCGACCTCTCCTACAATTCCCTCTCCGGAAGCATTCCGGCGAGCTTGGGTTCAATGGGTTATCTCCAGGTTCTGAATTTGGGTCACAATGATCTCACCGGAACAATCCCTCCCAGCCTTGGAGATCTCAAGAAAGCAGGTGTCCTTGATGTCTCTCACAACCACCTTCAAGGCCTGATCCCGGGGTCCCTCGGAGGGCTATCCTTCCTCAACGATCTCGACCTCTCAAACAACAACCTCTCCGGGCAGATTCCTTCCGGCGGGCAGCTGATTACGTTTCCCTCTTCCCGATACGAAAACAATTCCGGCCTCTGCGGTCTCCCCTTGGCCCCGTGCGGGTCCCGGGGCGGACCCCGTCACGAGCACGACGGGAAGAAGAAGAAGAAGACTGAGGCATCCACCGTGTGGATGTTCGCGGGGATTACATTGTCGTTTGTTTGTTTGTGTGGCCTCCTTGTCGCACTCTTTAGGGTGAAGAGCGCGCAGGAGAGAGTGGAGAAGAGGGACAAATACATCGAGAGCCTCTCGACATCCGGTGGCAGCAGCAGCTGGAAGCTGTCCAGCGTCCCCGAGCCGCTGAGCATCAACGTGGCGACCTTCGAGAAGCCTCTGAGGAAGCTGACGTTTGCGCATCTTCTGGAGGCCACCAACGGGTTCAGCAAGTCTTCCCTGGTCGGCTCGGGGGGGTTCGGCGAGGTGTACAAGGCGCACTTGAAGGACGGTTCGGTCGTGGCGATCAAGAAGCTCATCCACGTGACCGGGCAGGGCGACCGGGAGTTCATGGCGGAGATGGAAACGATCGGGAAGATCAAACACCGAAACCTGGTGCCCCTCCTGGGGTACTGCAAGGTCGGGGACGAGAGGCTTCTGGTGTACGAGTACATGAAGTGGGGGAGCCTCGAGGACGTGCTCCACAACAACCGGGACAAAAACGGCCCGAGCCTCGGCTGGGCGGCCCGGAAGAAGATCGCGGTGGGGTCCGCGAGGGGGCTCGCGTTCCTCCACCACAGCTGCCTCCCGCACATCATCCACCGCGACATGAAGTCGAGCAACGTCCTCGTGGACGACGGCCTCGAGGCCCGGGTGTCGGACTTCGGGATGGCCCGCCTCGTGAACGCGCTCGACACGCACCTGTGCGTGAGCACGCTCGCGGGGACCCCCGGGTACGTCCCCCCGGAGTACTACCAGAGCTTCCGGTGCACGACGAAGGGGGACGTGTACAGCTTCGGGGTCATACTCCTGGAGCTGCTCTCGGGTAAAAAGCCGATAAACACGCAGGAGTTTGGGGACGACAACAACCTCGTCAGCTGGGCGAAGCTTCTGCACAAGAGCGGAAGGAGCGATGAGATATTCGATCCGCAGCTGGTCGCTGATTCACCCGGCGACTCGGATGATCATCATCATCAGCAACTCAATGAGTACCTGAAGATCGCATTCGCGTGCCTCGAAGAGAAGCCTTACCAGAGGCCAACCATGATCCAAGTGATGGCCATGTTCAGAGCTTCATCGTCAATGCAATTAGGCGATTCTGCGGAGAGACACGACGATGCCGCCACCGTCTTGATCCACGAGTCGCCGGAAGGCGGCCCCTAGCTAGCAATGTTTGGGGTTCAGTTGGCCGGAGAAAAAGAGAGAAAACTTTGTACGATTTGTATGGATTTTGTCAGCAGTTCAGATTTTTTGTGATAAAGATATGGCACAAAAAATGTGTGGTGCTAGCTACTGGTTTTGGTTGAGATTGTTAATTTTGGCTGTTGTAGATATAACTATTACCGAAGGATACTCTTATTTAAACTTATGGCTCGAAAATAGATTTGTTATTAAATTTAGACGGAGTAATATAGCTTACGCAGTGTTTAAAACACAAAATTTACTTATAAACTTGTAAATATAGCACATACAGAGTAACATGTTTTGGGGGTTTGTTATTAAAGTTTAAAAAAAAATAGAAACCACTCTGTAATGTAGTTTATACAGAGTATTACGGAGTAGTAATTAGAGAGAAAAAACTTCCTTATGTTTTTGTGCTTAAAAAATATCTAGAAATTTGTGTCAACAAAAATAAAACTCCAACATAATGGTAAGTATAAGTATATTGCAAAATTATGCATTTTAAGTAAGAAGGGTATATTAATTAGTAGCCTACATTAAGGGTGTTCATCGGTCCAGAACCGAAAAAACTAGAAAATCGAAATCACTGAAAGTATAGGACCAGAAAACGGACCTGTTAGATTCCGGTCCGGACCTGTTTTTTCCGGTCCAGCCCGGGTAAAACACGGATTCTTTTTGTCAAGTTTTTAAAACTTGTTTATCAACAACGNGGGGTTCTATTACCTCATCTAGAATTAGTGCTAAGGATTGTGAAAGGCTTATTGAGAAAATGAAAACTGATCAACTCTGTTTTATATGGTATTATCAACTTTTGGTGTAGACTGTTTGTGATCCCTACTAAGGTGATGAAATAGGTTCAAGCTCTTTGTAGAAATTTCCTTTGGGGCTCAACCCAAGAAGGGAAAAGAATCCCTCTGGTAGCTTGGGAGGACATCTGTATGCCCAGAAAATATGGCGGGCTTGGTTTCAAAAACCTGTTATTGTTAGAATATAAGAAACATTTCTTGGGCCACAACCACAAGCTTGAGCTTGTGGTTGAGTTGGTTTTTTGACATGGTATCAGAGCCTTGTTGACTAAGAGGTCACGAGTTCGAAACTCAGTGCCACCCAATTTTTAAAAAATTAAAGTTTCACGTGCAAGACTCGGAAAAAAATTACGTCTGCACGTGAGGGGGCGTGTTAGAATATAAGAAACATTTCTTGGGCCACAACCACAAGCTTGACAGGTAACTTACTCCAAGTGAGAGACTGCTTTTAATGGAAAAACTTCTCCAAGTGAGAGACTGTTTTGCTGAGATGGATACCACTACTGCCTATAACCCAAATACATGATACACATGGTTATGGGAGAGAGACAGAAGGCAGACTGGGAAGGGTTGGTGTGGAATAAATTTACAATCCCAAAGCACAAATTCATCTTATGGTTGATTTGCTGGGAAAAACTTCAAACTAAATGCATGATGGTCAGATTCTTATCCATTGACACTTTATGCCAACTATGTCTGAAAGGTCAGGAGGATGTCCAACACCTATTATGTAGCTGTGATTACACTAAGGCAATCTACTGCAAGCTCTTGCCATGGTGTAACTATAACTTTGATGGCCAAAATCTTAAAGACTTGATGAGGGGATGTTTGAAGATACATTCAGTGAAGAAAAGAAGGAGAATTATCTCCATTTTTGCAACCACTGCTTATGCGATTTGGAAGGCACGAAATCAAAAAAAAAAAAATCAAGGGAAACAAAAAACCGAGGAGGTATTACAGGACATAGTATATCAAGTGGGTGTCTATTTGGAAGGGAAGAAAGCTTAGGAGTTTTATCCTTTTTTTTCGCTGCTCCATATTATTTTGTTTTTTAGGAGAAGTATGGGTGTTTACTGTATTTTGTAATGTGTGGTGACCTTTGGTGAAGAAATATATTTACTTTCGGTTTAAAAAAACTGAGCTTGATTTGAATTGATTTTTATTTTAGTCTTAATTTTTATATCCATTGGGCGTGTTTCAAAAAACTATATTAATGTAAAAAAATATTTTAATCAACAATTAAGTTTAAAATAAGTTTTTACTTCCGTTAGTTTGTGAAATTTCAAAAATATTATAAAGTTGTAATTAAATTATTTCCTTTATTGCAAGAACATGTTAAATGTCAAATGATCTAATACTCTAAATTGAAACATTATACTTTTTTTTAAAATTGTTTTTGTTTTTTATAATTATGGACATTTTGGGTAAAGGTCAATGATTGCAATTTTAAAAAGTAATAAAGATCAATAAAAAAATTTATATATTACATTTAAAAAATACTCCATATTAAAGTAAGAAAAAAAATAAAAACACAAAGTTGTGTTTATAATCACATACTTCTTATTAAAAATTAACAAAATTAAATTCTGATTTTACCGGTCCGACCCGGAAACTACTCGGTCAATGGACTGAAATTTTATTGGTCCTTAAAATTAAAATCGGAGACCGGTCCGGAATTTTACCGGTCTAGCCCGGAATCGGTTTTTCCAGTCCGGTCCGGTTTTCTGGTTCAACCCGCGGATCTTTTACACCCCTAGCCTACATGCTAAAATAATATACTCTTTGTCTCAAATTAAATTCCTTGATCGCTAAGTACATGCTCAAACTTTAATTGTTTTTTTTGTTGAATTTATTTTGGTTACTCATGTGATAAAAGAGTTCTCCTTATACTCCCTCCGTCCGGAAATATTCTTGTCATTTTCCTTTTTGGTCCGTCCGGAAATATTCTTCACATTTTCTTTTTTAGTATACTTTTTAAGGCTAAATATCAATAATACCCTTCTATTTTATCACAAATATACTTTTTTAGTACTTTTTTAATAATAAAAGGAGATTTAAAAGTTTATAGTATGTGCATTTTTAAAAATTTTGCATTTTTTTACTATTCCTTAATAAGTGTGCCAAGTCAACACGGGAAAAACATTTCCGGACGGAGGGAGTATAATTTAAGCATAAAAGCAATCAAAATACTTTAATGATAGTATAATCACGGCACACCAGAGTAGTTAACCAACCGAATTTTGGAATAAATATTACCAAGTGATTTGATTTCGTAATATTGGATTTAATCTCCATGTTTTAAAGATATCAAGCTAAGAAAAGTGGTTTGAACTCTCCAAGTAATATAAATGTACCATGTACTCCCTCTGTCTTTGATTAAACTTTGACTTTTAGATTTATTTTATCAAACATTTTCAAGACATTATTTTATCTAATTAATATACAATATATATTTTATTTAATTTTAGGACAAAGGTTGAAAATAATTAACCAAAAATATTCAAAAGTGGACAAATACTCAAGGACGGAGGTATTACTTGTTTTGGAATAATTATACGGAGTATAATGATACTATAATGCTTCTTACAATGAACTTGTTGAGGATGATTTTGGATAACGGTAATGAAGATCCAAAACACAAAACAACAAAAAAGAATACAAGCAAGCATTAATTCAACATCTATAAACTTGGATGGTGATGAAGATGCAAAACCAGAGTAAGCATTAGTGATCAGAATCCAAAAAAGATTACCAGTCGAAAAGGTAAGACTTGCATAATAACCGGTTCCACAATAATAACAATATTAACAATCCGGGGCTCTAGAAGAACGAGCCCCGGACCAGACATAGTAGAGGATGCATAGTACTAAAAAATATTGCCCCGAGAACAACAAGCTCGTCACTCCCGAGGAGAGACATTGTTAAAGGGGCAAGACATCCTTGAATAACGTTTCAAAGTAATAATAGTAATACTAACTAGGTCAACGGTTAAAATGCCACAACAACAGCCCCTTGATACATTATCATCTGGCTTGAAGTGTTCACTTGTCATCTACTTCTGCCTGCAGTGAACAAATGAAAACCATGAACCCATAACCAGACATTTTCAAGTCAAACTAGACAAACGTTGACTATTAAATAAATAAGAACGGCATTACATAATAATACAAATGTGATTTCACTAGATTTGTCTTGGGAAAAAACTTTCACAAGATTATTTTATGGTAAGTTTTTCAAATTTTATGGTAAGTTTTTCAAATTTTATTATGTTAGATACAAACGGTCAAGTGTACACCTAGAAAACTGCTAAAAGTCAAACTAGATTAATACATTCGGATGAAGGCAGTATTTCTTTACAACGTATTTTGAATCTAGGATGTCTAAGAGATTGTTCTCTCCAACTTATTCTTACTCCCTCTGTCCTAAAATTAACTTCTCATTTGACTTTTCACGGTCTCCAATGCGACACTTTGACCATCAATATCTCAATTTTTATATAAATATATTTTATAAAAATTATATATTTCAAAATTATATTCCAAAATGAAGCTATTGCTAATAAATTTATATGCAATTTCAATGTATTTTTTTCTTAATCTACGGTCAAAGTTTAAAAAGTTTGACTGCAAAAGTAAAACTAGGAAATTAATTTTAGGACGGAGGGAGTATTATTTAATCTTGTTGGAATCAATTCAGACTAGATTAGAAACAACTTTTAACATAACTACAATCGGACCAGACGAAGAGAATAAGCTCTAAGTGCAACTAGTTGCTTCATTGCTTGTGTGGCACCCAATTGGCAACAAGCAATTCCACAACGATAACTATAGCAAATACTCTGTATTAGAGATCATTAACATATCAAATATTAAAACTTCTAACGCACCTCTCCACTGCTCTCGCCATCCTCCTCCTTGTTCATTTCAGATTTGGACTTGTCAGACTCATCCCCGTCACCTCCTCCATCCTGTTTGTCAATCATAAAAAGACCCAAAACAGAAGCCTAAGACATATACTAAAGAAACAAGGAAACCAAAATGATTACATGAATCACAAAAGGTATATAATATGTTCACCATTTTCTTGTTGTAAGCTTGCAAGACTTTGCCATAATCTTTCTTGCGTTTGTCAGCTTCAGCTACGAATGGAGCTTTATCCTACAATTTGAGTAATATCATTAAAAAAGATACTCCGTAACCCAAAAGAGAAACATGTGTCTGAGATAAGCCGCCACGCCACAATATGATCAAATAAAATTCAAATGGCATATTGTATACCTCTTCAGACATAGAATTCCACTTCACGCCGCCCGCTTTCCCAACCTATCAAGTTCGTTAAAAAACATTACAACAAAAACACAGACATGATACATCACAATTGAAAGAAATTACGGTAATGTTGGCAGGAAAAAAAACAAGACAAAAAAGGACATAAAATTACTTACAACTGCAACTAACTTGTTATTGGGATGCTTACGTTTGAAATCAGTTCTGAACTGTTCCCTGTAAATCAACAAGGGTAATAAATGTCCATCAATTGACAGATTTTTTAGGCAAAAATGGGGCCCAAAAAACAATTACAACTCGTACATGAAAACGAAGAAAGCACTTGGGGGTCTTTTGGGTTTATTGGAATCCTTGCCATTCTTTCCTTTGGGATTCTTAACAGAAAACCTATTTCAAAACAAAGAAAAAAAAGACTCAGTAAAAATTAGCTAACACAATTGTGAAAGCGAAACATCATGAAATGTTAATTGCATGAGAGAATCCCTTACATTCTGTCAGCATTTCTTGAGCTGGCCTTTGGTTTTCCTCCTTTCATGTGGAATCTGAAAAACAAACCACAAAATCAGAAATCTGAAGCTGAACTGAACATAAAATCTGAAAATTTACAGATTTTGAAAGGATTCTGCGAGAAATGGAGAGAAAATTGGCAACAATAGAAAAGGCTTACTGTTGACGAGAGAAAGCTAGGGTTAAGGGTTGAACGTCTGGAGATGTCGAGGGCGAGGGAATGGAGAAGTACTCTGAAACACTGAAGACCAGAGGAGAGATTTTGGAGGAATAAAGGGAGTATTGTAAAAGGATAGTCATACTCACACTCCACCTAAACACTAACTTCACTCCACACAATAAATTCACTCCATTATTAATTCTAAAATTATTTTTACTACTTATTCAAAAAAATTGTTTTTAATCCATGACCATTTATAATTTTAATATTTTGATAAAAAATCTAGTTTGAATCATAATATAATAGTTTAATATAATAATTTTTTATTCTACTAAATACGGAGTACATTTTAATTGTTAAATATGATATCTTTTAAAAATAAAAGTTGTATTTTTAATAAAAATTGACATTTATTAACATTTATATAGATTTTTGTTCTTGAAAATAAATAAAAGAGAATAATAGTGAATAATTTTAAGATTATACTCCATATAAAAAAATTAACTAAAATTTATATAACAATCTTTTTAAAATAATAAAGTAACTATGTATATTTAAAAATGTTAAAATGCATATTGGTATAATACTTAGAAAATAGAAGATTGTATACAAAATCAATGGCAATTTAATGTATAAACAATAAAAGTTTTTTTAATTAATAAAAATTTGAAACAAGAGGCGCCAAAGTTTTATAATTAAAATTAAAGCTAAAATTTATATATTTTTATTTGAAAATTAATAAAATGAGATAAATGATGAATTGTTTTAAACATTTATTTATAATGTTTTTTTATAATTTTTTTAACATAATAAAGTTATATAAACTTTTTGAATGATAACATAATAATATATCGGACTGTATAAAGCGTGTTCTCGTTAAATTGAACTGATTTTAATAAAAATAAGTAATAAATAATAAGAATATGTTTAAGAGAACACGCTTTTAGGATGCATTCTCTTGAGAAGGTATATGGTACAACCGGATGTACGGTACATCCGGGTAGTACTCATTCTCGCAGAAATAAAATTAGCGTGGTACTCATTCTAAAATTATGCAGTACTCATTTTTACACATTGGTTCAATATTATTATAATATTCATCTACAAATAATGCAGTGTTCATTCTGAAACAAAATAGTACTCATTCTCAAATACTTCATTCTCATGTAGAATAAAATCCATGCCATAAACAATTTTTGGTTATACATAAAATTGGGTACAACCGGATGTATAATATAATTTGCCCATTCTCTTGCGCTGATCTGAAACTGATTTTTTTAAGAATGATTTGATCTGAATGGATGTGATTCAAATTCAATTTCAAATTATTGTTGTTGTTGTTGATGTTGTTGTTCTTGTTGTTGTTGTTGTTGTTATTGTTATTTAATAATAATAACTACCTGCATTTAAAATCGGTAACCACTTTCTATACGTAATTTCATTAGCATTAACATTGATGATAAAATTATAGTGGTCTGAAAACAACGAGTAGAGTGTTGAATAAAAATAATCACTTATATATAAAGTTGGGATACACGTCACCCTTTTATATATGTAGGTGGTACGGTATTTCTCTTTGTTTCTCAATGTGGGAACTCTAACACTCGCCTTCAAGTGATAACTAGGCTAGCCTAATCCGCTCTTGAACAAACAAGTCTAGCATTTCAATCTCTTATAGCTAGTTCATACAACTGACAGTGGCATATCAATCTCTTATGACCAACTCAACCCAAACCATAGATGAGTAGCTCATATCGCTAAACCCACGTCCAAACGTAGAGACGACAATTCTACCCGAATCTGACCTTTAATTTATTAATCTGACTGGAGCTTATAATATCTGATCTGAATCTGATTTGAAAACATAAATATCTCAAACCGACTCGATAAAATTTAATCCAAAGCCGACTCTTATCAGGTCGGGTTTGGGTCAATATATTTAACCAACTCGTACACGATCAGACTTGTAACAGACTTTTAAGAAGTTTTTAAAAACACTACATTTCTATATTCTATGTATTTTTGGTACACATGTTTTGAATGTTTTAAAACTAATTGTGTTTCTTTGTGTTTTATTTCTAATTGGAAATAAATCTTGTGTGTCATTCCCATGCTATTTTTTTGTACTCCGAATATTATTAGTTAAAATTTACTATGTAATTTTGTTAAAGGTTATTCATTCATAATTATTTTTTTTAATATTTTAAATTTCATGTCGTCTTTAAAATTTTAAATTTTTAATATATTCCAATCTAAATTTTTTCGTGAATACTTTTATTAGTATATAACCCCAATATGACCGTATCCGACCCGGTCGAATTTTAAACCCAAAAAATACATATGTAAAACCGACCGCCAAAATCAAACCCGAATCCAACCTAAATCGGGTCGGGTTTCAATATGTTCAAACCCGATCGAACCCCGGCCCGTTGTCATCCCTATCTAAATGTACAACTAGGAAGAATTGAATCTGGATGAGACCTACTCTTATATCATGATAAAATTCCAGTGATAACTAGAATAATGGAAAGAGTGTCGAATAAAATTAATCACTTGCATACAAACTCAGTAGTCACTTTTTAACCTAAAAGTTTAAACTGATGAATTGAACTTCATCTTTTTATATATGCTAGTAATATTTTTTGTTTTCTAATTTGGAAACTCTATCAATCGAAGAAAATGAATGAAACAATAAATGTGAATTTTTTTTGGAAGTACAAATGTGAATTCACTTCTTTTTCTTTCAAAGAAATATTATGAACTATGAGCCAATAAAAGAATGTTGAGGACATTTCGAAGTAATGAATAAAAGTTAAGTTTATTCAATTATTCTTTTAATCAATATGTGAAAAGATTAACTTTTTTAAACAAATAGGGGAAATAAAGACAAAAGTATATCATACTACTATAAAAAAAGTATATCATGTCGATTACATAAAGGACATTTGTGACTTTTTTTTCTTCGAAAAGCAAGTATGATATTTTTAATCTTGATGCACTAAAAAAGTATGGATAAATTTTTAGATAGGTTGGAATTCCATAGTTGGATATTGAAAAAAAATAACAAGAGTTAGAAAATATTGAAAAAAATAAAATGCTAAAAAGTTATTCAGTTAAATGATCACCTAAATAAATATGTAAAAAAATTCTAATTTTGGATAAAAAAGAATTCATTCAAATCTATGTTTGAGAAAATATGTTATAAATTTAGATATATATACTTTTATTGTATTCTATCATGTATAAATATATTTGTAATGTGTACTCTTACACTACAATGTCATTATACTCTTATTTTAATCTTAAAAGACTTATGACTATTATTTTGGTATTTTCATACTTTTTACTCATATCTAGGGAGATTTCTTCTTTTAAAAGATGATTTTATTATACTAATATTCAACACATATTTAGAGTAATTAATTACTAAATTTTGTCAAGTTTGTTGTGAAAAAATCAATGAGTATGCTGGGACATAAAAAGTATTTATTTAAAATCATATATAATTTATGACTAAAAAATGTCACATTAGTAATAAATACTCGGGTATCAAATAAATCATACAGAGTACTAGTAGTAAGGTGTCATGGCCTCCAACTAATTTTTGCATCTAGGGTAAAACAATTAAACTTCATGTACATTTGCTCCAATTAAAACTTAAGAGACACCAACTAAAATATGTTTCATTGCATACAATTAATTGTTTATAAAATAAAATTTCACAATACCTATTAAAAATTCACATATAATAAAATAGTTAAAATAAATTTCATTTCATTTTTTCCATTTAATATTATCTATTAAAAAAATTAGGGGACGCCTCAAATAACAGTGTTCCCGACTATACGAATTACAGGATTTGTAAAGTGTAATCACATTCGGTCTGTGACAACATTTTCAAATTTAATAAATTTTAAAATATATTTTATTTTTTAGGGGAATATACATTATAACTAAATACATAGTATCATTTTTAAAAAAAATTGTCTAATTTTAATTTTTATTATCTTAATAAAAAATATTTTATTTAATTAAATAATTAATCCATACACACAAAGAAACAAAATTCCGTAATTTTGTATTTGCATAGTAAAAAATACAATTGTTTTTTGAAATGGAAAAAGTTTTTTTAGGGGAATATACGTGATAAAAATGTTCACTTTTCATTTTTTTGCGAAATCAAACAAAACTTTTTTGAAATGGAGACTTTTTATTTTAAAAAAAAACTTTTTTTTTTGGTCGCGAATATAGTTAGAAATTTTGATGGAAGGAGAGTACTCCGTAATATTTACTGGATTAGTCCGTCTTTTTTCCATAAATCCAAAATCAATCATTTTCTGTGCTCAAGCTACAATTTCATGAGAGAATGAGTTTGGATGCGTAGAGTGAAGCAGAGATTCTCTCTTTCTTTCCTGGTTCCGATTTCTCAATGTTACAGTTTTATTGATTCTTGGATAGCGGAATCAAATCATCAATTGCGGGGAGACTAATCTGGGACAGGAGGGTATTTTCGGCATTCCATCTCTGTCTCTCTCTGTTGTTTTTTCATTTTCAAGTATTTCTGTGGATCATCGTTATTGAATGATGATTGAGTGTTTATTTTTTGCACAAGTGTTTTGCTATTTTCCATTTCTGTGACAGAGTTGTTATCTTGCGTGTGAATATTAATCCAAAATAGATTCAGTTGCGTTGGATTACAATTGGTAGATTTGGGTTTTCGAAATTCTGCTCGATTTTTTTCCAGTTTTCTCAGATCTTCATGTTCTTCCCTGGATATATAAGCAGTGGTTATGAATTCCTTGTAAAAATCCAAACTTTGATTGCCCCACTTTGTTTTCCTGAAGCTAGTTTTTTTTTCTTGCTTTTTTTTGGGTATAAAAATTATCTTCCTTTTCTGGAGTTGCTTCGCAATTATTACTATGTAAATGACATATTTGGAAATTAAAAGTAAAAAATCTAGGTAAGAAGGTAGGAGTTTGGAAATCACACGGATTGTGGATATATTTAATTATTTGGAACAAATACATTCCTTGAATTCAAGAGCTAATTGGATGGGGTTCGCACGTACGAGGGACACGCCCCACGTCCTATCAACTATACTGATAGGAGTCCTAGTCTACTGTCTGGGCCAATATTGGGGGACATGGGGGTTGGGGTTCAACCTTTTTTTTGAATTCAAGAGGGAATTGAAAAAGAGAGATGGAGTTAGTACATCAGTGAAAAGAACTGTACTTTAAGAGTGACTCGACATTATCAGTTCGATTGAAGTTTATTAGTGTCTCATCAGTTAACTCTTTTACGTTTTTATTGATTTGATGCAGATGTTTTTTATCGCTCTGCCTTTGTACTTGAAATTGTAATATCCAGCGCCACTACAGAATACATGGGTGGATTTGATGATCATGCTCGCATGATGGGAGATTGGATGCCGGCTAGTCCAAGTCCAAGGGCATTTTTCTCTTCAATCCTAGGTGCTGATCATGGGTCAAGGTCAACTACTGACCTGGAGGATGAAAATAAAACTGGAGCTCCTATTTCAGACCCCGAAGGGCATGCATCGTCAAGGTATAGTGATTTGAAGTGCACCGCACAAGCTGGTGAGCAAGGAGTTATGTTGAGTTCACTCTCTGAGCAGAAAGTGAGTTGCCGTGGAGGTCTATTGGAAAGAATCGCAGCTAGGGCTGGATTCAATGCCCCAAGGCTAAACACGGAAAGTATTCGTCCTGCTGATCATTCACAGACCCAAGCAGTTCGGTCTCCCTACTTGACAATTCCTCCTGGTCTCAGTCCAACTACCCTGCTAGATTCTCCTGTTTTTGTCTCAAATTCACTGGTAAGTTATTGTAATGTATATGTTGCGTAGCTCCTTACACGTAATGGACATCAAAAGCATAGAAGCATGGTCTACTGTTTTCCCCCATTTGCTTCCAGGTTAAGGGATTTTACCCTCATATATAAAGTTTAATAAAAGTGAGAGTTCTTAAACAACTTGCCTCATGGCACATGTCTTCTCATTCTGTTGTATGAAAAAGGAAAAAAAAGCATAGTTGCCGTATCCTTTTTGTGCTTCCAACTCAGTATATGAAAAATGTATCAAATTCTTTAATGGCATGTTTGGGAACTGGAATTTGGATTTCAAATCCAAATTTGGCTCAAATTCCATGCTTGGGAAATCTTAAAAATTTGGATTTGGATTTGGATTTGAGGCAAATTCGTCTAATTTATTACAAAGCTCAATTGCAAATCCATATGTCTCCACTTGTCATTTGAAGTTCAGGAATTCAAATTTTGGAATTGAAATGCAAGTGAAATGAAACGCTAGTTCCCAAACGCTACCTAAATAATTTATCTTGCTTGAGTACTTCCATGGTTTTGAAAAATGAGATTGGAATATGAATAGACGTGAATATTATTTCCACAGGTACAGCCATCTCCGACAACAGGAAAATTTTCATTTCCCTCATCAGGTGATGTTCCGAATTCAGCATTCTTTAGGGAGGCTCCTGATCAAAGGAAAGACAGGTCATTTGACTGCAATGATACGTCATCCTTCACTTTCAAACCAATCATGCCAACTGGGGCTTCCATATTTCCTGGCACATCTAACAAAGTANCCCCCCCCACTACTACCACAAAAAAACACCAAAACTCTCCCTAATCTCTTTCATAACTTGTTTATGCTTCAGTTACAGGTACCTCCATCCAGTTTAGTACATCAATCTTTTCCCAGTCTTCAGAGTTCAGTCCAATCAGAAAGCTCTCATGTCCCCCCAAATGTAGATACTCAAGTATATTCTCAGAATGGAACATTCCAACAGCATAGTTTCTCCAGATCATCTACTGAGAAACATAATGCGTGTCATGATGCCACACCTCAGTCGATAACTCTTAATATAGGTGCAGGCAGCATGGAGCATTCTTCCCTTCCTGATGAGCTGCAGTATGAGGATACTGATCAAAAAGGGTTTGGAGATCCCAACATTCTTGGTGGGTCCCCAGCTGAGGATGGTTATAACTGGAGAAAATATGGGCAGAAACAAGTGAAAGGAAGTGAGTATCCACGGAGTTACTACAAGTGCACCCATACAAACTGTCCAGTCAAGAAGAAAGTGGAGCAGTCTCAAGAGGGTCACATTACAGAGATAATCTACAAAGGAGCCCACAATCACCCAAAACCGAATAGAAGATCTGCACTTGGATCCTCAAATGGACTCAGCGACATGCAAATAGAAAATACAACAGAACAAACTAGAAGCGGAGGTAATTGTGATTTGCTTGGTTGGAGGAATGACAATCTTGAAGCAACAACATCTGCACCTTTGGGCTCAGAATATTGCAACGGGTCTTCACTACAGGCCCTGAATGGCACCCAGTTTGAATCAGGTGATCCAGTAGACAAGTCTTCTACTTTTTCAAATGATGAAGATGAAGATGACTGTGGAACACATGGAAGTGTATCACTCGGTTATGATGGTGGCGAAGGGGATGAGTCTGATTCAAAAAGAAGGTTTCACATATCGTCTGCGAGATTTCTGACTTACATTCCTTACAAATACACTCCATAAGTTTTTTTTAACATGCATGTATTTTTAGGAAGGTTGAGACTTATGCATCTGACGTGACTGGGGCAACCAGAGCCATCAGAGAGCCCAGAGTGGTGGTACAGACTACCAGTGAGGTGGACATACTTGATGATGGGTATCGTTGGCGTAAGTACGGGCAAAAGGTTGTCAAGGGGAATCCAAATCCAAGGTTTGTGAAGTTCACCCACCCAATGCTATCATTTCTGGATTGAAACCCGAAATTTAATTCCGGTCTCCGATGACTGATTAATCATTTTCTTCCTTCTTCCCTACCAATTTACAGGAGTTACTACAAGTGCACAAGTGCTGGTTGCACTGTCAGGAAACATGTGGAGAGGGCTTGTCATGATCTCAAGTCAGTGATAACCACCTACGAAGGGAAGCACAACCATGATGTTCCTGCGGCACGCAACAGCAGTCATGTTAATTCTGGAGTTTCAAACAGCATACCCTCACATGCAACTCCTCCCACCCAAGCCCATTTGCACAGGCCCACCCCCTCGCAACTCCATAACGCCATGCCAAGGTTTGAAGCGCCCTTTTCACTGGCTTCATTCGGGCTGCCCGGGAGGACACAGCCGGGTGCTACCCCAGGTTTTGGTCTTGGGATAAACCCTCAAGGCTTAACCAATATGGTAATGGCCAGATTTGGAGCTAACCAGGGAAAATTTCTTGGTCTTCCTGTTCATCCATATCTTGGACAACAACATCCAGGGAATGAAATGAGCTTTATGCTCTCCAAGGGAGAGCCAAAGGTGGAGCCTGTCTCTGACCCCCATGTCTTGAACATCTCTAATAGCTCTTCAGTTTCTCAACAAGTCATGAGTGGGTTATCCCTTGGACCTCATATGTAAGTTAACAATCTTTGGCTCTCAAATGAGAAGAAATGTTGAGTATATCCAATTGTGCTTTCCTATTTATTTGGTTATATAGAGCATTCTTTGTCCCTTTGATGTTCCAACTTATTGAACCTTGTGTTTTCGCTTGCTCACTTTGTACACAATTTGTTATCAGAGCGCTGTGTGTGCGGGCCCTCACGTGACAGGTGGGGCCGTGGGGTGGTCGGGGGCGGGGTCTTGTTCAATTGGGTATCACTGAAACTAAAAAAAAAAAGTGAAGGGAAGTTTCTGGTTCTCAAACTAAGAAGTTGAACATTTGAAATTTTGATGTGAGAAGCCTAACATTTGAATTGTTGAATCGACAAATATCTTCCCCTTTTTTGTCCATTTTTTGTTCCTCTCATCACTTTCTATCCTATATCACACTCTTTATCTCAATTAAATAGTCTAAAAAAAGTAAAATTGTTTGGTTAAAAATGATAGAGAGGAAAAAAAGAAACTATGTGAGTTATTAAAAAAAATTAGAAGTGAAAAAAAAATTATTTTTTGAATGTCCTAAAAAGAAAATTAGGACTATTAATTTGAGAAGAAGTATCTACTAAATTTTGTGTTAGATTCCTTTTTATTTTTATTTTTTAACATAAACTTCAATCATACTTCACAAATTAAGCTTTTTTAATTTGCGTCATTACACAATATCCTACAAATAGAGAAACAAAGACGTAATTTATAGGTCAAGTCATCTGTCATCTATCATTATTTTAAATAGTGGATTTACGTATAATGAAATCATGAAATTCACTTCAGTTTCAAAATTTGATCGCTTTTATTTACATATACTAACAACATTTGATCGTTTTTATTTAACATATTGAATTTGTAAGATAAATGATTAAATAATTTTGTACTCCCTAAATGTTTTTTTTAGTAAATCTAATAGGTGAATTTAGGTTACTCTCTCCGTTCCAATTTTAGTTGCATGTTTATTACGGAGTATTTCTAAGGTCAAACTTTAATTACTTTCTTTACTTATTTTCCTTATTAATTTGATAAAATAATATAATCATGTCAAATAAATTTTATTTATTAATTCTACCCCAATTTTCAAATAAATTCATTTAAAAATAACTTCAATCAAATATCGCAAACAACAAAATGCAAAGCTTTTTTAATTAAGCAATGGTCACACTTCATAAAGTTCAATAAAAAATCAATTTGAGACATTATTGAAATAAATGCATCGTATCTTAAGTTATAAATAACTCAATTTGAGACATTATTGAAATAAATGCATTGTATCTTAAGTTATAAATAACTCAATTTGAGACATTATTGAAATAATTCTTCAGATGAGACTAAAATATATTGTATTTTCCCACATAGGGCCATAAATATTTTTATTTCTCAAATATATCTTGATCAAAGAAGGTACAGGGTGTAGGGAGTATTCCTAAGGACATGATTGATAGTAAGCATATGTTGTTTTATAAGAGGAATAAGAATTTGTTTAATTCATTCTCATAGACAACACTAGTGATAGAATTATGAATTTCACCTTAATTCATTTTTATACCAATGTGCCATATTTCCATCAACAAGGTTTAATGGGGGGAAAACCTTGTGGAACTTTAATGATTTACAGTGCAACAATACATAGAAGAAGCTAATGAGGAACTATAATGTGGGTTCTACACAGAGGAGTTAGGATTATTATCAGCTAGTGGCTGGCACTTAAACAACCTAGTAGTGAGTAAAGTCCAACAACAGCAACAAGTGAGGTTTATGGGTTGGTTGTACGCTGATCTTGTCCCTACCTGTGAAAAGTAAAGTCTCTCTTCCCGAAAGACCATGGGCAGATTCTCACGTTGTCTATTGAGTTTGAACAGGCTGCGAAGACTTATACTCGAGCATCTCCGTCTTGTATCTCTCCTTATCTTTCATACCCTTTTCCTGATAAACCTAAGTGAAAGAGGAGGTAATTTAGAGTCATGCTACAACACCACCAAGGATGACACCAAGGTTGACACCACTAGTGTCCCACAGAGTCAAAACAATAATTTATCATGAGTCATGAGAGAAACCCACCAGTTTGATGCCAAGAGTTTGACACCAAGTGTTCCGCGAGTGGTGCTTCCATGATCCTAAGGTCCACATGTGAAATGTGGACCTCAAAATTTTCATGGGCCGACATGAGGATGTTTTATTTTTTTCAAAGAGCCCAATTCATCCAAAGTATTTATATACTAGGGTCCATAAAATGAGGGTAGACCTTAAGAACACAGAAGTATTTGCCGTGTTTCACACAAATATACATGCAGTCATTGTCTATGACACACATACAACCATTAACTATGCATGTCTATGAAAGACTTGGTGTCAAACCTGGTGGGTTTCTAGTATTTTTTATTTCAAATTGACGATTACTATCCGTGCGAAAAATAGCCTGATGGTGTCAAACTTGGGGTTATTGTAGCATTATTGGAGAATTTATGACCATATTTCTCATCAAATTCACGCAAGAAAAGAGGAAAGTTTATGAAATGAAAGCAGGCAAATCCTACCTGTTTCTCAGCGTCTGTGAGCCTGTTCCATAACACCCCGATTTCCTTGCTGATAGCTTTCGCATGGCCCTGGTGTGAAGGCTTCAGCTTCGAGTACTGTTCCGCGTAAAAAAAATTGTAGCCACTTAGGTTTTGCCGTGGTCGAGAGTGATCTGTTAAACTTAGCTGGTATTTCTTTGGAGTCTGCTTAGCATGTCCACTTGAAGTGGTAGCGCTCTGAGGTGAGTGTGTTTGCATTGGTTTGTGATAAAGAGCCCCGTTCAATATCTCCGAGCCCACGTTCACCGTGATTACATACCCATCCTCAAACTTTGCATCAATTGTGCCAATAACTGAGTTGCCAACTTCAAGACTGGGAGTCCCCATTTCTAAGGAATTGAATGCTTTGCTTGTAGGGTCTGTGCAAAAGAACCAAAAAAAGGTTCAAACTTACTGATATAAAAGAAGGAAAAATTCATGCCAGTACTCCCAAAATTGCATGATTTTATATAAGTACTCTGAGATTTAATGATTGATATTGATGCTCCCAGAATTTTCATATGTTTACATCGGTACTCCAACACTTACATATGTTTACATCAGTGGCCCAACATTTGGAGCATAGATATAAACATATATAAATTCTTGGTGCAGCGATGTAAACATACAAAAATTCTGGGAGCATCGGTGTCATTTACTGTCAGTTACTGAATCTCAGAGTATTTATATAAAATTGTGCAATCCTGGGAGTCGTAGTGTGAATTTTTCCTAAAAAGAAAACTCGTAGAGTTGACATTTTATAAGTCGACATATTAAGGTACCGGGGACAGAGGAAGGCTCTTCCTTGCGGAAGTAATAGACCTGCTCAAAGTGATATAGCAGAGAGAGGTAGTGCTTTCTTAAGATGAATGATGCGCTCGTTACACAGGATGGAAAAGTGAATGCCCCAACAACGTCTTCCCATCTTCGATCTCTAATAACCTGCAGGTTCCCGTGATATGACCCACAAAACTGTATTACAATATCACCTTGTGAAGTAATTACAACAATAATAACAACCTAGTTGGATCCTACGAGAGCAGGGTCTAGGGAGGGTGTGCACAGACCTTACCCCTACTTGAAAGTAGGGAGGCTGTTTCCGAGAGTCCCCCAGCTCAAGCAGCAAAAATAATACTCCCTCCATCCCAAAAAAACTCCCAATTTGACTTGGCACAAAGTTTAAGAAAAGTGAAAATGTATGGTTGAAAATGATGCAAAGGAGAGAGTGTGTGAGTGGTGAGCCACTCAAAGTTTTCCATAAAAGGAAAAAGGAGTCTTATTTTGGGACGTCCCAAAAAGAAACTAAGGAGTATTTTTTTTGGGACGAAGGGAGTAGATAAAGCCAAAGCCCAAAGCACGCAAGGCAAATAACAAACTAGTGGTTATTCAACAACAATAAATTTCAATATAATCCCAACTCAATTGGGGTCTAGAGGGTGAAGACTGAAGATTGACACAACCTTAGCACCCTCTAAAATAAACAAAGAAGCCCGAGACTTTGAGAGGCTACTTGCATTAGACCCCTGATGCATTCCTGCATTTACTACCCAAATTTCATATGAAATTACAAGGGAACGAAAGTAAAATGTGACATTTTGATTTAGTTCATAATTTATCTGCATCCTAAACATTCTCCATATGACTCTTTCAATTCTCAATTGGCAATAGATACGAAAAAGTGTAAACCCGAGTATCCTAGACCTATGTTTACATTCAGTTGATTATTATATTTCATCGCTCTTACAGTCTTACAAACACGAAATGATAGAGCTAAAATGCGGTATCATTGAGTACAATCAGATAAGTTGTATACTCCCATAGTCCAATCAGATCATGTTTTCATGTTTCTAAATTTTGTGATTGTAAGAATAAAAATATGCTATAACATTCTAGAATACAAATGTCCATTCCTCTCGGGTTCCATAGAAAATATTGGAAATGAATGACATAAAGAAATCACCAAGGTTCAAATGACATTGAACCTTAATGTCATAAGATGTCCGGTGCCCCGTTCGTAAAATTGACGGTTCCTACCCCCCCTAACCCCCCCGGTAAACCCCCCTACCCCGGCCCCGACCCGAACACATCCCCCCACCCCCTTCAATTGCACCCCACAATTGCACCCTGTAATACCTTTTCAATTCCGCCTCGTAAGGCAACCTCCACAAAGAGGCGATATAGGTCTAGAGGCTTTCCCGCTGCATTAGGAATCCTGAAAGAATGAGAAATCAAAATGGAATTATCACATTATCATATTATCATATTATAGTTATTATCATACTTTTTAAAATCATATATAGTGCGAAGCAAAAACATTAGTTTAAAGCAATGATAAAAAACTTCAATTTGAATAAGTGAAGAATCCAGTATTTCCTTCCATAATATAGTTTTTGAGTTTTCAATCTAAAAGCAATACATTTCATGCACGGTTAAGACTGCTACTTTCTCCGAGAAGTAAACCTATCCACACAATGCATTTCATCTTCAAATTGGTCATCTACTACAAGAACAACAAAGCCAAACTAAACCATGAACACCAGACTGATATCTCTGTTGTTTTTTAGCTTGAAATTCATAACAATTAAAACACTAAAAAAGTGTACTCCGTTTGTCCCGTAAAGTTCCATGTTTCCTAATTGGTCTATACCAACATAAGGTCTTGGTTTCTGACAAAGAAAAAAATGTATGGTTCGTGTTATTTCCTTTTCTCTACTTATATTTCAGCCACATATTTTTGCATTTCGCAATAATCGTACGGTGACAAATCTCAAGCCATATTGCGAGACAATTAGACAAAGGGAGTAATATTCATTACTTTCAAAGTAAAGATTGACAATTTAAACGTGCATATTCTTTTAAGCAAATTCTCTTTACATTTGTGAATAGTGTTCACTAAGAGTCTTTAAGACTCACATTGCCAAGTGACCCGTGGTTCCAAGAAAGTAAAGATTGACAATTTAAACGTGCATATTCTTTTAAGCAAATTCTCTTTACATTTGTGAATAGTGTTCACTAAGAGTCTTTAAGACTCACATTGCCAAGTGACCCGTGGTTCCAAGAACACTAATTGGTTTTTGGGGTGAACCAAGTATATCACATACAGATGCTCAAAAGCTTTCCAAGCAACATGTGGACATGAAATACTCCCTCCGTTCCTAAACTGTAATCGCACTTTACTTCTTAGTCTGCCTCAACATTATCCCTCATTTCTTTTCTAAGGAAAACAATATGTGACTCATATTATTATTTTTCTCCAAAACTTCGGTGTTGACTTCGGGGAGTTTAAAAAAGGGTTTGATTGAATAATACTCTCTGAGGCCTAGAGATATTGCATCAGGCTCATGATATAGCTCCTAACCCTAGGATTCTTGTTTGCCTATAAAAGACGCACACCCCGATCAGACTTACACCTCTACACACTATTATTATCTCTCTATGTATATTCATCATCTCCAAAGTCCATAGAGCTTCAAACTTCATCAATGGTCACCGATCCTATATAGTACGTGTACACTCCTAAATGTATTAGATACACACAATCCTTAGCATGGTACCATAAAAAAGGTCCGTAATTTTGAGTGGTTTGCTTTCCACGAAAACATAATTGTGTTAATTTATTTATCATATTTTTTTATTCTTAGTCATTATACCCATTCTTGAATACCAATGGATCGATTATCCATCGAGGTTAAAAAGTAAAAAGTGAATAGTTGATGTTCAAATAAAAAAGAGAAAGATTGAGAGCCACATATTTCATTACGAAATTGAAAACCCGAGAAGTTAGAGTTTATTTTGAGACAACCGAAAAAAGGTGTGAGTTTTGTTTTGAAACAAAGAGAGTAAATCTCAACAACAAAATTTTTATTTACTTTATTAAATAGGGATGGAGCTCATGGAGGGAGTACATATGAACCAGATAAACTTGAGTGACGCATATGGAAGATATAATCTACACATGCTAGACATGGAAATATTGCTAAAACCCTATTGGAAAAAGACTAAAGTAGAAGTAAAACATTGAAAATACACCAAGGTTCCCATGACATTGCCCGGCAATGTCATGGGATGACCCAAGGCGCTCCGTTCGTAATATTGACGGTTCCTACCCCTCCTAAACCCCCGGTAAACCCCATACCCCGCCCCGAACACACCCCCCCACCCCCTTCAATTGCACCCCACAAGTTGATTTTGACTTTGGAATCAAATTTTGACTCTAAAGTCAAATTCAACTTGTGGGGTGCAATTGAAGGGGGTGGGGGGTGTGCTCGGGTCGGGGCGGGGTAGGGGGGTTTACCAGGGGGTTAGGAGGGGTAGGAACCGTCAAATTTACGAACGAGGCACTGGAGCACCCCCGGGTCATCCCATGACATTGGGTTCCAATGTCATGGAACCCCACCCTTGAAAATATACCAAAATAAGACTTCCATGTGTTTATTCTCGAAATAAGAGTTAAAATGCATTTACATTACCAAACATGGTCATGTACATTACCAAAAAGTATAGTAATGTACACACGTACAACGCCACATTACAATGACATTACCACATTGTGAAGTCCTACTTCGAAAATGAAAACATGGAACTCCTATTTTGGTACTTTTTTCTATGTTTTAATCCTATTTAGGGTGATTTCTAAAACCCTATGGCCTGAAAAACTTATTGAGCTCTATAACCTCGAATAAACGAATGAAGAAGCAGCGAGAGCATAAAACTGTAAAAAGTTCTACTCGTATATACGAAAATGAAGGGAGGAAGAAAGAGAGGACAAACACGTATTCGTCGCCCAGGGAAATGTGAAAAGCTTGGAGATTTTGCCAGAAAAGCTCCGGGTTTCGAACGATCTCTTGGAACTCGGCTTGGGGCTTGGGGTAAATGAGAGGGCGATCGGAATGACCGGAAGCAGTGACCGCTGTTTCCATGGCTGAAGGAGTAATTCTTTGACAAATACTCAAGTAGATGAAGATAAAAATTACTCCCCACACAGCCACAAAATATTTCCACTTTCTATGAAAAAAACCATTTTTACCCCTATTTTTTCATACCCTATCTATCACATCACACTTTTTCACTAATAATCAAACTATCACATCTTACTTTTTCCCATCATATTATATTAAGGGCAAAATTGGAAAGTCAACCAAAATTACACTTTCCTTATTTTTCCCCAAAGTCAAAACCGGAAGAGTTTTGTGGAACGGAGGGAGTACTTATTAATCTCCTTACACTTTGACTTCACATAATTTAATAAAATTTTTAAAATGTTTATGGCTGCAATTTGTTTAAAAAAGATTACATCTTTTGCAAGTATTCATTATCAAAATCACTCAAGGATCTTTTAATATTAGAACCTAGTGTCATTGGACGTAGACACATACTATATCTGATATTGGAAATTTTAGTTTTGACTCTGCCAAAAAAAAAGTACTGCAATCGGTACCGGTGCAGTGGCTAGCGGTACCAATTTTGGTTCTGGAACCGACATCTCCAGTTCTCGGCCCAATTCAAGAATCTTGTTTTGCTAAGTTGATAATTTGATGCAAATGTGGTAGATGACTAAAATGCTTGTCTGGATGTAGTTGTTACGTGTAGAATAAGGAGAATTAGAAAGTATAAAGTGACAACATTTAATATTCCGGTAGTTCAAAAAATCAATGAGGTAAATATACATCGCTAATTTCGTGTATGAAGTTGTCGTTGTACTTTTAGACATGGAAGCAATCTTCTTCCTCTTCGACAAGATATTGCCAATGATATTTTTAAATCACTTTTTTCCATTGACATTGAACGAGATTGGGTTCTCACTATTCTCTGGAGGGTTCACGTACAACGTATGAAATTCATAATCCAATGCTTAAAATAATAGAGTAGTGTTAATCATCTCAATCTCCCAATCAATAAAATGTTGAAAATAATAATCATTTTCAACCTGAAGCATCTACTTCATAGCAATTTTGTAAATATCTAGTATGTACAAGCAATACTCACATCACTAATTTTTCATAAAGGCAACTTATGGAAGCAACGAATGATCACTCAAAGTATCGCGAAAACAAGTGGTATTGTTTATACATTCATAAACAAACATGTGAGAAAAATAAAGTAGTAAGATTAAAAAATTACACGTTAGATAGTTTTTCAACAATAAAAATTCATTCATATCAATCACATGAGCAAGATTAGACTTAACAAAGAAAACAAGTTGTTCTTTATAACTCAAAACTCTTTTAATCAGCATTTACACACTATTTTACTAGATTGTAATGTGCTTAAAAAAATGTTACCCTAGAGTACATGTTTTGTATCCTTAGACACACAACAAAATTTACAAAGTGCAATTAGAGTGATGCAGAGGTGCGGTTGGAATATATCGAGTTTCGTAGATTTACCGGAGGGTTAAGGCTAAGGGCGCATTGGAACAAATTAATGTACATCCAAGAACAGAAAAACTACCATGCACTTTCGATGTACATGAATTTTTTCATATAACACAAATTTAAAAATAAAAATTAAATAAATACATATGTTAACATAAGTAAAAGTATTTTTCAATCACATACTTCATCCATCCTAGTGAATTCGTCTGGTTAGACTTTTTCTAATTTGAATAAATTTTACTCCCTCCGTCCCTGAGTGTTTGTCCACTTTCATTTTTGCACACCATCCAATGCACTTCTTTAGTCCATTTTATCTTGTAATTTGTATATTAAAAAATTATAAAAATTATATATTAATAATCTATATGTTAAGACGAATCAAACAAGATCACACATGACTATTTTTAGGCTTACACATTGAGAGAATTTGATAAGTCAAAGTACTTAGATGAACAGTTCTAAAAGTCAAAAGTGGACGAACACTCAGGGACGGACCAGATAATAGTCCATTACACTAAAAATGTTTTACATATTAATACGTTTCAATAAAAATATTTTAAAAATTTCAAAATAAGCCTAATGAAATAGTTTTTATACTAATTTCTTAAGTTGAGGACAAAAATTTACCGCTTTGAATGTGTAATTTAAAAAAAGTAAACTAGACTAAGGTTGTATTTGATTGGGTAAAACATATATTCCTAGAAGAATATTTTCCAAATGAAAATAATTTCCAAGGAAAATTATTTTCCAATCATATTTTCTATTTTTTGGTAGGAAGGAAAATAATTTTTAAAAAAATCTTTTCTTTTTAATTAATATTTAAAATTAAAATTCCAAACATACAAATTCCAGTTTTTAAGTTCTATAACACATGAAAGATTTGAAACTCACAATTTGAATTCTTTGGATCAAAATGAAATCAAGGGAATCCACAATTCAAATTTTATGTTTTTAAAATTTAAGGTTTAAAAATATAAATTACGTTTTTAAAATTAAATATTAAAGAATTGAGATTTCAAATTGAAAATTAAAAATTCAATATTTAAAATTATAATTTAAAATTTAAAATTTCATATTTACAACTTAAAATTTAAAAATTAAGAATTAAGAATTAAAAATTTAATATTTACAACTTAAAATCTAAAATTAAAAATTAAAAATTAAAAATATAAAATAAAAGTTCTAGAAATTAACATTTAAAATTTACAATTTAAAATAAACAAATATTTAAAATAAAAAAATATTTAAGAGTTAAAACATAAAAACTAAAATTTAGAACTTAAAAAGTAAATTTTAAAAATTAAATTTAAAATAATAGTTTTTTTTTGAACCACATCACATCTTATTAACTCATCTCAATTAGTAGGTTATACAAACCTCAGTAATCCTCCCATCTCAAACCTACTTACAGGATACCACACTACTCTTTCTCATTTTACTATTAATGAAACATTGTATATTAAACTTAATATAGGATACACATTCATCCACCGTCATTTCCCTCCTTTGGTGCCATTTTGTGTTTCTGGCCTTCCAGATTGTGTAGCATATTGCCGCCCAAGCTGCTATCCAGACTCTTCTCTCCCTTCTAGCCCCATATTTACTCAACTTGTCACAGTAGTCTTGGAAGCTAGA